TGTGCGCCAGCGCACGTGACCGCACACATCGGGAAACATGCCGACCCCCGATCGTTGCCACAAATACATGCGAAGTGGCACCAGGGTGGTCAGCATGGTGTGTGGTGGTGGTGCAGCTGCAATCACTTCGCATTCGTTGTTGGCAGGGACCGTCGGCCCGCACACTCAGACAATATGTGGGCACCCCCGCCACCCCCATGAAAAGGCAATGCAGAGGGATCGCGCCCCCCCCGGGGGCATGGCTCAAAATTTTGCCGCAATGTGCACGCATTCTTGTTTTGGTTGATGGGTGTGGTGGCCGTGCACAAGCGGGGCAGTTGATGGCACCCCCGCTGTCCTTGTCGTGATCGTGCCCCCCTCCCACGCACGGTTCAAGGTGTTGCCGCAAAGAGGACGTTGTCTTGTTTGTTTGTCACGGATGGCGTGGGGCAGATATTGATCCTGGTTCGTCGTTTGTCGAGCGGGGGAGGGGGGTGTTCATCAAGGAGCAGCAGTGGTACACCCGAAGAGAGGTGTTGGAAGAGGAAGCGCCTTGGACCACCTCCGCGCCAAAAGGGCTTGTTGGATGGTGTCCACCTGCAAATGGAGCGTCCCGCCGCGTGCCAGGGGGCGACTGTTCGAGGGGCCACTGGGGGCCGCGACGTGCGACACGTCGTGCCCCAAGGCTTGGAAGGGCTGCGACATTTGACACACACCTCCGCGTCTTGCCGTTGGCTCTCTGCTCGTCGTCGCCGTCGTCGTCGCCGTCGTCGTCGTCATCGTCGTCGTCGTCTTCCTCCCTCTCTGACGTCATGGCTTGGCCTCCCGTGGGGCAGTCTTGCGGGTCCCCTGGGCCATATCGAGCTGCCTTGTGGACCACCTGGGGCTTTCGTGGCCCGTCTTGAGACCCTCGTGGCCGTCTGGGGGGTCCCTCGCGGCAGAAAGTGCGGCCGTCTTAGAGCCGCCTTGGGCCGTCGAGGGGCTCGTCAGGCCATCTTGGGGCTGAAAGGAGGCCGTCTTGGGCCAGTCTGTGGTTCTCTCGGAGCCGCCAAGGGGCCTTCCTTCGGACGTCCTGACGCAGTTTTGGAGCGTTGATGATTTGATAGTTGGGGGGCTCTCGTGGGCCGTCGCGGGTCCATCTTGCGACCTGCCTCTAGGGCCGTCTGGAGCTTCGGGAAGCCCGAAGAGGTGAGGCCGCCCAAGTCTTCAAGCTACCTGGGGAAATATATGAGCTTGGCTTCGTCGGGTCCTACGTGGGGTCTTCTTCCTGCCCTCTTCGGCCGTCTTGGGGGCCTCTTGGGCCATATTGAGGCCATATTGGCCGACTTGGGGCCGTACTCTGTCTCCCTTATGAAACGTGTGGGGACAAACGTCGTGGGGGGTGCCACGCCGGCGAATATTTTGCCAGGGCTCTCGCGCCAGCGCAAAAAAACGCCCAAGGGCCGTCGACAATGATGCAGCAGTTCAGGGTCGTTGTTGATTGTGGTGATGGTGGTGGTGATGATGGTGATGATGATGATAATGATGATGATGATGATGATGATGATGATGATGATGACGATGACGATGATGGTGGTGAACACGATGATACGATGACGATGACATGAGGAGAAAATGTGCTATACTGGACGCAGGTGGTTGCACTCACACCTAGCACACGACCACAATACCTTTCAAACCATTTTTGCAGAAGGTGGCGCACACATGCTTGTCGAAGCGGGTGATTGTTCCCCGCGCGAGCGAACGTAGACAAGCGCAGGGCACGTGCAATGCGCGAGTGCGGCTGCTGCAGAATGGATCAACACGTTTACAATGCACATGTCAATGGCCAACAGTTTTGAAAACAAAATGTATTCATCGGCGCCGGCGAAAATTAAGCCGGCATGTCGCCAGGGCCGGCGGCAAATATTCTTCGAAGCCGCACGCCTACGAAAGTTATACTGGAGCCCAGAAATGCGCGCATATTGGACCACCTTGGGAGCCTGTTCGAGGGAGCGTGTCCTCAGAAACGCGGACCTGCTCTTCTACGAGAGATCGTTACCTCGGGAGCGCGGACGCATCGCTTTTACAAAGTACTGCGGCCAAGGGAGCCAGGAGGAATGCACGCGGAACTCCGCGACGAGAGGGGTGGGGCCTTTGAGGATTACAGAACCCTTGCAAGACAATATGTTCAATTCTACCACGCCTAAGACAAAACAGGGAACACGATGACGTATCTACAATATTCGGTACAGAACTCGAAGGGGCCGGATGACACTCGCGGCACGGTGGCGGATTCAGTCAGGAGAAGGCGTGTGCATGCCAGCTCGAGGTTCACAGCGTGTTGAATCATACATCCCAGCGTGCACATAGGATACTTCGGTCTTCCTGCTGTGCGGTGCGCATGCCAGCTCGAGGTTCACAGCGTGTTGAATCATACATCCCAGCGTGCACATAGGATACTTCGGTCTTCCTGCTGTGCGGTGCCGCAGGTACATATGTATCCTGGTGGGAAAAAGCGTTCGGATCTGCGAGAAACGAGCTGCCCCTTGTCGAAGCGGTGACGCTGGGGTGAGGGGGGAAGTGGGAGGGGGCAGGCCTTCTCAGAAGGCGGCGGGGCTTCTCAGAAGCCCTCCAGCCTTCTGAGGAGCCTTCTGTGGCTTCGGAGACGGCGCATACATTATAGAGCTTATCAGACGGCCAGGGGCCTTCTGAGCCTTCTGAGACGGCCCGCCCCCTCTGCCTTCCCCCCAAGGCGCGCCACCGAGGGGGGGAGGGAGGGGGGGGGAAGGGACAGATGGGAGGGGAAGGCGGCTCGGGTGGTGAGGCTGCTCTGGCCTGGCCGGCGCTGCCCGTCTCCAACGCACCGAGGCCAGCAGCACCGTGCCACGACGGGCGCCGGGCGCGCTGCTGGAGGCGCAGGGGAGGGTCGTTCAGAGAAGCTCGGGGGGGCAGCCCATCACGCGTAGCGCCAGGAGCTTCGAAGAAAGACTTGGAGGAGGACGAATCGGCGTCACCCCAACGTAATCATACTGTATGTGCGTCGCCCCCCTCCAGGGGCGACGCGCGCACCGAGAAATCGTATGGTACATGCGTCGTGGCGGGCGCTTTCTGGCTGCGTCGCTCGGTACAGGATATACAGCCAAGACGCTGAAATAAGGAACGCCTCGGGTGCGGAGGGGTCTCGCTGTTCCTTAAGCTCTTCCATGGCTCCTCCTGCATCACTCCTCGTGCACCTAGGCGCTTCTGGGGCCAAGAAGGGGCTTCGTTCCTTATTTAGCGTTCCTTCTGATAGCACCTCGACTGTACTACAAGATGGGTATACTATATGGTCGGGTCTGACGCCTCCAAGGAGGACAGGAACAGTATCAGTGTGCCGCTGTGCGTCCCAACGAGATGGCGCAGCACAGGGGGCCAGGCTGGGGCCCCTCGGAGAGGCCCGTGTGGGGCTCGGGGGGTGCCGTCGGAGGGCCCTGGAGGACCCAGGGGCGACCGAGGGGGGACCTCGGCAGGTCGCCCTGGCCGCCAGACCTCGGCGAGGCCTGGTATTAAGTCGGGCCTGTCCCTCGACAGGGGGAGTATCCAAAATAGTCAAACAATAGTCTGGGGACGATTTTTTGACTATTTCTGACCATTCTGGGGTATTGTTTTACTGTGTTTCATTGCTCGCCTAAGATCCCCCTGTAGGGGGACAAGCCCGACCTAAGCCTAGTACAGTCAGCCGCGCCCAGTCCAGACCGAGTATGTCCAAAGCACGTCGCTGGTATCCCAGGCCGTCCATGGCGGCTTCGTCCGAACGAGCGGCAGCCGACTGGAAGCCCAAGGAAGTTCCAAGGGCGTACAGGGGCGGGGGGTGGGACCCAGTGGGGAGGGGAGCGTGTGTCGCACGCGCTCTGGTGAGAGGGCAGTCGACTGGATGCTTGAAAGGCAGCGTGCATGGTCGCCACAGTCGAGGTCTCAGCCTCGGCCCAGAAACCGTGAACGACGGCGCGCATCTGGCCAGGTCTGGAAGAGAGTCAGAGTCTTGGCAGGCAGGGGAGGGCGATGTTTGCATGCCGTGGCGGTCCACCCTCTCTCGCTACTCCTTCCCCTCCTGCATTGTGCAACTCTCCCCCGTGGGCTTCACGGCAGGGGTAATGCCCGCTCTTGTGAAGTTCACCCGGGGATGGATGGACCAACGCTGGAGAGCTATCCGGACGAGGGGGCTATGGCCCCAGCCGCAGAGAGGGGGGCGAGAAAGAGAGAGAGAGAGAGATCTGCACGTGCATCTACAAACCCACCCCCGGCTCCCATCGATTCAGGAGAACCGACGGTTGGGGGGGGGGGGGGGGGATAGGGTTCGGACGTCGCCATCCAGCGACACCGCGACGGGAGGTTCCGGGCAGCTGCCGGCCCCTGGCGGCCCTCACCAGGCCCTGGAGCCGTCAGGAATCGACTCGGGTCGGGAGCCTCCGGGAGTCGGCGCCAGGGGGGCGGGAGGGGGAGGAGGAGGAGGAGGAGGAGGAGGAGGAGGAGGAGGAGGAGGAGGAGGAGGAGGAGGCGCCTCAGCTAGAGAGGGGCCAGGGGCACACCAGCTGCGCGCGCGGGCGCGCGTTCACAGGAGCACCCATTGGGGCGCGGCGTGCGGGGGAGCGTTCGTCGGTCGCCCCTTCCCCGTGCACTGACCCCTCCCCCGGGATCCCTCCTCTTCTCTTCTCCAGGCTCTTCTGCGGTGCGCTGCGGGATTGAACCTCCAGAGGCTCCAGAGGCTCCAGAGGGGAAGACGAGCAGCGAGGCAGATCTTGCCCCGTGCGGTTGGCCGGGAGGTCCAGCCGCACCACCCCAGCTCCCTCCATTTTCGCGCTTGCCTCCGCGGCCCCAGGGCCTGCGGTGTCTATTTGTTCGTGTGTCCCGGGGCCCCATTCATCCTCGTGCTGCTCTTCTTCATCCACTGTCTTGCTTCTCGATGTCCACGGGCAGTAGTGCAAGACACGCCCCAAACTTGTCAGCCAGCTGCTTGTCTGCAGCTGCCATGGCGCATAACCCAGTCGGTGCTGCGCAACATGGGCCGCGCGGCGGCCTCGGCCAAGTTTCGCATCGGTAACACCTGGCAGCTAGATTCAAGGCACAAGGTGCCCTGCATGACATTGAGAGAATTCAGCTCCAGCCCTGCGCGCTGTTCGGGCTGAGCTGGTCAGTCGTGTGTCCCACGACGCTGACATCGATCCACGTTCGGGTGGCCTGTACGGGTTCGCCACACGCTCGAGCTCGAATTAGGAGTACGTCACCACGCCAGCCTCAAGCATGTGTGGTAGACGAGGCCACCACCAAAAGGCTTCTAAGTCCCAGCGACCTGAAGGACATGTAGCAGGCCCAACACGGAAATAGCGGCAGGTCCACCCGAAGGAAACCCGGCGCCCGCGTGTTATAAAGTCTCGTATGGAACATCTGGGTCACAAGGCGACGCGTCATGCCGCCCTCCCGCGGTGTGGATCTGCCGGTCGAGCTCTCTCGTCGCGCTGCGCGGTGATTGTGGGCCCGCACGCGGTGCTTCTTGCTGGTGGCCCTTTGGGCCCCAGGTGTGACGCCAGGAGGCACTGCGCGGCATTCTCGTGCGGCCGGGGCTGCCTGCTGCCTGCTGCCGCGCCGCGCAAGCCCTGCGGACGTAGACGCACGCGGAGCTCTCTGCGACGGGCGGCGTGCTCCCGACAAGCGGGGCCCCGGGCAGAGCGTAGGGGGGCGCCCAGGGCTCCAGGCGGCGGGCCTCGCAGCGCGGAGTCTGCGGGCGAGGCTCGTGCCGCATCCCCCCTTGGCACTGTCTCGTGCGCGCCTCCCGAGCAGCTGCTGGGGCGTTGCTGGCCTGCACGGGCGCGCAAACCTGAGGTTAAAAGGACGATGGCGGCGTTCGGCGCCGCGCGGGCCCGACCGGGGGGGAGTGCGTGCGCAGCGTTGCTGCTGGAACCCTCGCCTCACAGGTGGCCCCGCCCAACATCCCAGTGCGTCCTTCCACGCACAACTATGCACACAGGCACACCGACACCGACACACACACACACACATCAACAGACAGACAGACAAACAAACAAACAAACACACATACACATACACATACACACACACACACTTGTTGGCGTCGCGGCCCTGGGCGCGGCGCCAGGGCAGAGGAGGTGGCAAAGCAGCGAACCCGCGTGCGCGACTAGGATCGCCCAGAATCCTCAGAGACCGCGAAGGGTTCCGCAGCGGCCAGCACACACACACACGCACACACACACACACACACACACACACACACACACACACACACACACACACGCGCACACGCTCGCACGCACGCACGCACGCACGCACGCACGCACGCACGCACGCACACACACACACACACACACACACACATACGGGGTCCATCCAGAAAGTACAGAACACAACGTTGACGACGGCTCCTCGGAAGCAGCACTGTCGTCGCTCACGGGGTTCACCAGCGGGTGGAGCAGAATCAGCGACTCGGCAAGCCCAGACAAACACCAAGCGGTGGACGAAGTGAAGGCACACTGGTGGCTGACATCATGGCAACCTCAGCGGCTGGCAGGGCCCACAGAGCGCGCTTGGCGCTGGACTGCGCGATCCGGCGGCCTTCGCAGGGCCACCCTCGCCACAAACCTTGAAATGTGGCAGGTCGCTGACCGGTGGCAACGGCCCGTTCTAGCTACGCATACATATCCCCCCCCCTCCATAGAGTAGACCACCCACTTATTGTCACTCGGTCCTCGGTGACACCAAGCCTGGCCCACGCGAAGTGGTCTTGGCGCCTGCATTCTGGCGACGCGCTTATCTCGGAGTGATGCTCCGGCATGTGCGTAGGCCACATCTCCGGTTGAAAATGTTGTTGTCGCCTCGGCACCGGCGACATCCTTCATTGAGTATCTCGTTCTCGCCTTGGCGCTGTCGCGCTGGTCAAAGAGGTCCTGCTGGTGCCGCTTGTAATGCTTACACCACTGCTGCTCGTGACGCTGGGGGTGCTGGTGCTGCGTATGGTGCTGCTGCTTCTGGTAGTGATCGTCTCGGTGGTGCTGCTGGTTGCAGTAGAGCTGCTGCGCGTGTGCAGAGGGACACTTTGCCCGCGATTACGACGGATGCTCTCGCCTCACCGATGGCCGCATCCATTCTTGCGACTGTTGTGATGGCCTCAGCCACAGCCACACCCATGATGCGAATATTGTTTTCGCCTCGGCGCTGGCCACATCCACGATTGCGAAGGATGGTTACGCCTCAGCACTGGCCACATCAGGGACTGCGAACGTTGTTCTCGCTTCAGCGCCAGCGACATCCACGAGTTCGAACGTCTCTCTCGCCTCAGCGCCAGCCACATCCACGACGACGACAGGTGCTCTCGCCTCAGCGCTGGCCACAGCCCTGATTGCGAGCGTTGCTCTCGCCTCAGCGCGGGCCACATCCATGATTGCGAACATTGCTTTCGCCTCGGCGCAGGCTAGATTCTTCATTGTAGTCGGCACTGTTGCACTGCATGTTGTTGTGCCGCTCCATTATTGTGCGTAATTTGCTGGAGCTCGCGCGTGACACACTTGTGTCGCCGAGCCGTTGGGCTGGTTAGCCTTAATGTGTCAGGTTAGCTTCGGCGCAGTGTCACAGGGGCCGGGTCAGGTTAGGTTAGGGATGCCCGTCGGGTACCGAAGTTCCGCGGAGCAATGTTACACCGATCTCCTAGCGCCCGAGCCTTCTGCGGCGCCGAGCTGAGCCTGACCACAGCTGCACAGCAAGGGCACCAGCAGGGACGCCGAAGCCGACACCAAGTGTGTGTTGCAGCGACTGACAGCGACAGGTGCGCTGACAGGTGCGCGCTGCACCAGCCCAACAGAGGCCCCGACTGCTTCGCCGAGAACATGTCCGGCCAAAAAGCCGGGGATGACACACTGTCCGCAGACGATTCGGCCACGGCGTGGCGGACTGGGAGGCAGGGTCGCCCTCCCCGCGATTCCACCTTTTTCGGGATCGTCCACGCAATCGCAGCGGAGCGCTCGATGGACCAGGGGGGGCAGGATGAGCATGAGCTCTCAGCGGAGCCAAGCGCGATCGTGCAGGTGTGCGGACTGCAGGCGGAGCACGTGGACGGGAAGGTCCGTGAAGCGTCGGAGGTATGGATCGCCAAGCGGCCCTGGCGGGCGCATGTACAGCGCGCCACTGCCGTCGTGACCAAGGCGGTGGAGCTCAGCGGGTCAATGCGACTCCTCAGGAGGAGGCGTTATGCCCCACTGCGCGCCCCTCTTCCTTCTAGCTCGTGCTGATGGGCTCCACGCGCAGGCACTGCTTCCGCGACGGGGGCCACGACCCGGACGACGACGAGGCGGATGGCCCGCCTCACGGCGGCCCGCTGGCGGCCGACCTTCCGCGCCTGCCCGACGCAGCGTGGCCTGGCGCCTCCTTGACCGACGCAGGGCCGGACCTCCGCGCGCCGCGCCACGGCACGGCGCACCCGCGCGCGCGCGCCGCCGGCAGCACGCTGCGGCGGCGACCCCGCCCGTCCCCCCGCGCGCGTCCGCGGTGCCTTGGCATCGCTCGGACGTGTGCATTTTTTCCTCGGTGGGGACCATCGAGGAGCATCCTTGATCATTTGGCGAAAAAACCACGCACGAATCCGACAAAAGCACCGGGAATGGACGTCCGAGCGATGGCGAGGTGCAGCCCCGCAGCCGGCCGAGCCTGCGTCAGACATGCTCTCCTGGGCTCGCCCTTGGGGGGGCACGGGGTCGCGAAGGCGGCCGCGCCTTCCCGCCTGGCGGGCGGTCCCGGATGGCCGCCCGTGTCCGGCGGTTGCAGCGCGGGGGCGCGGGGGTGGCGAAGGGGAAAGGGATCGGTACAGCGATGCGGATGCCGCGTGTAGCTCCAGCGGTGCTGCTGACAGATGCCGCGTGCCCGGTTCTCTGATCCACGCGGTGTGTAGCCCGAGCCAGTATTGTTTTAGCATTGCCTGCTGCCACGACGTATCGTTGAGAGGGGGGACACCACCCCGACCCCCACTACTGACATTTACAGCCGTGGGCGTTTGCTGAGCCGCCCTGCCCTGTTCGACTCCGTCTTTTCTGTGAGCTTGCTGTAAGGCTTCGCTTGCTGGGGTGATCAGTATGTGGGCAATTCTCCTGTCCTCCAAGGATAGGCAGCCGCGCGACAGGGTCTGCGCCATCTCGAAGCGCGACAGGGTCCACGCGCCAGCGGAGCGGCCTGGTCATCTTGGCACCCCGCACGCGGTGCCGCCTCCAGCTGCGGTGCCCGCAACCGACGCATCGGCGCCAGCTTATCTTCGGCGCGCTCTCGGCGTCGCCTCCTGCCGCCGAGTGGGCCTAGCCGCACTCCTCGGTGCACCTTTTTGTCGGCGCCAGCTCCTCCTCGTTGCCCCCCCCCCCCGTGTCACTCTGACCCAGTTGGCCCCGAAGTCCATCATCAAGCAACTCTTGGGTGGGGGCGGTACTCTCCCACATGTTTGATGGCGCGGGCATCGCTAGTGATTCCTGCGCACGCCGGTCTAGCTTTTGCTCACATGCTTGCAGTAGGTGGGACCAGATGGCGAATGCCGAATGCCGACCAGCCCCCCTGCCTGTCATCTGCCTCGTCATCTCCTCGCGTCGTCGTCATCCGTATCTTCGTCCTGCTCTCTTCTTGCCCCGAGCCAACGCGCTCCCTCCTCCTTCCGATCAGCGCCTGCATAGCTTAGAAACGGGAAGGAGTAGGAGGTGGACTGAGGAGGGAGGAGGGAGGAGGGAGGAGGGAGGAGGGAGGAGGGAGGAGGGAGGAGGGCGGAGGGGGGGAGGGGGAGGAGGGAGGAGGAGGAGGAGGAGAGAGGAGGAGGAGGAGGAGGAGGAGGAGGAGGAGGGGGGAGGAGGGAGGAAGGAAGGAGGAGGAAGAGGAGGAGGAAGAGGAGGAGGAGGGAGGCAGAGGGAGGAGGCGGCGGTCAGCTTCGACCTCGGCACGCCGAATGCGTGCGTGCGCTAAGCCCCAGCCCTGGCTGCCAGGCGGCGGGCGGCTCTGCCGCCGCCGTGCCCGGCGGCGCCGCAGGCGGGCTTCCTCCCCCCCCCCCGCTGCAGGAGCAACGCCGGGGGAGTAACTCCACGTCCACATCCAGGGGGGGTATCCCCCCAGGCGGCCATCCATATCCATATCCAGTTCCAGGATCCACGTCAGGGGAGCATCCATATCCATATCCCCAGGGGAGGAGCGACGTCAGGGGAGTACCCCCCCAGTGCGGGAAACATGTGTAGCCATATCCAGCGCGTCTCGAGCTTTCTTGCAAGGGGCGCCGCACGGACGAGGCGCACTGGACGTAGATAAAAGCGAGTTTCCAGGAGCCAGATGTTTACATATTCAGCGCCTCGGTGCGGTGCGACACGCTATCCATTTCCCAGCCCCGAGGCGTCATCGTCCCGAGCTTTCCCCGACTTCCTGCCCCACGGAGCGGAGCGACACGTTATCCACTCGAAGAGCGTGTCGCCGGGGCCGCCGTGGAGTCATGCTAAGCAGAAGTTCCTGACCGTAGGCTCAGATGGGGGTGGGGAGGGAAGGGATCTGGTGGATTCTGCTGGCCTGACCTCCGAAGCTGCGAGACACACAGGGTGGCTGCGAGCAAGACCGCCGCAACCCCCAGGCCGGTCCCGGGCGTCCAGGCGTGACCTTCCGGTTTGTAGCTGGTGGCACGCAGTCCCGCCCGAGTCCAGCTGTCTCGTTCCCATGCCGTTCCCTTCGCGTGGCGACGAGGGCCCCGCCGTGGCGACGAGGAGCGGCGAGGGGGGGGGGGGAATGGGCACCACCAGGCGCTTGGCCCATCCGTCGAGAAACGTCTTCTGGCAGCAGAGTCCCTCGACGGCGGCCTGCCGAGTGCCCTGGCGCACGCCGCCGCCCGCTGCCGTCGTGGTTGGTGGCGTTTGCACGTATGCTCTCCGCTGCGCGCAGAGCCAACCCCGCTGTCACCGCTTGCGCTTCTCGCACCGCCATCTCCCGCCTGTCACGGCCTGTCGTGCTCGCACGAGCCGAGCCCAGCCGCGCTGCAGCGGCTGGGGTGCGCTTGCTGCGCCCGTGGGCACCGAGAACCACAGCTGCCACTGCTGGCTTGCTCGCGCCGACAGGCATTGCTGCCACGGCCTGCCTTGTCGCGCTGCCGACCCCATTCGGCCACTGTTCTCTGGCACGAACTGGCCCCAGCAGCCTTGTAGCTGGTGAGGTGTACTTCCTTCGCCACTTGGCGACGACAACAGCTGCTGCCACTGCCTGTGCCTGCCTTCTCACACCGACCGCCCCTGCAGCCACTGCTAGCGTTCTCGCACGAGCTGGCTCTTGCTGCAGTGTAGCTGAAGATTTCTGTTCCTACGCGACCGTTCGGCAGCGACGACCGCTGCTACCACTGCCTGCCTTCTCGCACCGATTGGCCCTGCTGTCAACGCGTGCAGGGGAAGAGGAGAGGCAGGGGAAGAGGACGATTCCACGCCAGATTGCATCTTCTCTCTCTCTCTCTCTCGCTCGCTCGCTCGTTTGTTTGTTTTTTCTCTCTCTCTCTCTCTCTCTTCTTCTCGATGTATGTATGTATATGTGAATAGTTATATACCTGTGTATATTTCTTCCTAGGGGCAGAGAGGGTGGAGGATGAGCAGGAAGAGCAATTCTTCGAATGTAAGGGATCCGTGCTAAGAAGTCCTTACTCATGAGCTCTTACTCAGCAGCCTGTACTAGAAAGAGTCCTTACTAGAGGGAGCTTTGCTGACGGAATCCTTATTAGAAGGGGCTCGTACAATTCGACATGAATGTTATTGCACATATTCCTTCCTGAAAGGGACCCGTCTAAGGAATCCTGAGAGGGGAGAACTTCATTGAAAGAGTAGTCGCGCAACGAATCCTTACTTACTGAAGGAGTCATTACTAGGGTGTCCTTACCGCCGAGTCCTTAATCGGGAGCCCTCTATCGAAATAATCCTTAGCAGCGGAATCTGGACTGAACGAAATCCCTGGAAACCCTCACCTATTTTCAATATAGGGAACCTCTACCAAAGGAAACCCTCACACATAATCTTACCTAGGAGCCCTTTCTAAAGGAACCCTTGCTAAAGGATCCCTCACAAGGAATCCTTTCTGAGGGATCCCTCACGTAAGGAATCCTGCCGAATGAGTCCTCACTGGAGGATTCTCTTGTAAAGAGTGTCCGTTTTCAGGAATCCTGACTGCAGAAAGTATTGTCAGAAGGGGTCTTTCCTAAGGAATGTGTGTTTCCATTTCTGTGGAACGTAGTACGTTGATTCCCAAAGCGGGCCAGGAGAGTGATGATGAGAATGAAGAGGAGTAAGTGGAGGGGGAGGAAGAGGAGAGAGGAGGAGAAGGACGATGAGGAGAAGGAGGAGCCGGAGGAGGGAGAGGAGGAGGAAGCAGAAGAGGAAGGGAGGAGCATCGAGCAGGGAGGAGGGCCGAAGACCCACCGTGCCCGGCCTGTCTGGCGCCCCGCCACCGACAACCTCCCCCTCCTCCTCCCCCTCCCCCTCCGCCTCCTCCTCCTCCTCCTCATCCTCCTCCTCCTCGCCCTCCTCCCCCTCCTCCTCGGTCCCCCGCCACCGACTAACCGGACCGTGGCGGGCGCGCAGATCGATCCGTAAGGGGTGCGCGGTGCTGGCGTGCGCGCGGGCATGCGCGGGGCTGCCCAGAGCGACAAGGTGCGGTGATCGGCCGGCACCTCCGCCCCTCCCCCCCAACGGATACAGTCGGGGCGTTGACCTAAGGAACCCTAAATAAGGAACGAGGCCCCTTTTTTCCATAAGTTAACCTTCGATTTCCTGTCGGAAACATAAGGAAAGCCTCAGGCAAGCTGTGAAACACTTAAGGAACGCGGAGTCCCTCCCCAACGAAAAGGGTTCCTTCTTCAGGGCCCCGACCAGTGAGCGGCTTGAAGAAGGAACACTTGCTTTTCAAAAGGGGCTCGGTCGTTCCTTAGGTCCACATGCGTTATCTACAACTCCTTATGCGTCATATGTTATGTATCGTTCCTTATGCGTTATTCCTTGGGATTAAGAAGGGGCTTCGTTCCTTATTTATCTATCGTTCCTTAGGTCAGGCCGATGACTGCAACCCGGATAACGCAGGCTGGCGCCTTGAAATTTTCAAGCGTTCGAGGGGAGGGGGGAGACGAGAGGGGCGGAGGGCTCGCATGAGGGGCTCGGGTTCCCTCCCCTCGCGTTCGCACTCGTGGACCCGGGGCTCGGGGCGCGCGTGTGCGCACGACGAGGGCGGGGTGGGGGGCGGAGAGATGGGCGGAGGCGGGGTTCGGGAGGGGCCTCCAGTTGATCTCCTTCGCATGCGCTTTCCCTCTCGAGCGTTCGCTTCCCCCCCTCCCTCCCTCCCGTCGGCCCTGCATCGCTTCCACTCCCCCCAACTCCCTCCCCTCCCCTTTCTCATGGCAGTCCTTACATCTCTGCCCCCGCATGGCTCTTACGCTCGCTGCCTCCCTCCATCACGCCATCCTCCATCCCCTCCTCTATCCGCGTGCCCCACCCCGGAAGCAGGCGTCGTCACGGTCATGTTTTTCATGATCATGGTCGCGTTCATATTGGCCGCGTGCCTGATGACAGTCGATCCCGAGTCAAGTCCGCGTCTGCCTTGGCAGGCTCTATCGTACAGCAACATGGCAGAGCCTACCACGGCCGGCAGCCCCGCCCTCAGCGGTGCCACCGAACATTTAGCTTTATACATGTTCGGTGTTGCTCTTCTCGCGTCGCATCTTCCTGCGCGAATTATTATGCCTTATGCCTCTGGCCTGCCTTTCTGTGTTTTCCTGCTGCTCCTGTTTCTGATGCCCCACCCGCTCCTTATCCTCGTCCGACTCGCCTCCGAAGCTTGACCCACCGCGTATGGTTCTGCTCGCTTCTCGCCCCGCTCGCCTGCATGTGTCCTCCCGCCCCTTCCTCTCCGCTAACCTCACAGATCCATTCACAGATGCTCATCCCCGTTCCCTCGCGCTCGTGCGAGCGACACACGCTCCCGCGTACAGCTGTGAGCAATGTGGTCGCGCGACGCATGTAAGATGCAATGTCGTTAGGGTTGGTTCGTTTGTACATGGTTTGTAATGAAGCGCGCGGCTACCTCTGGGACAGATTCAAAACGTGCGCCGTGCTCAGTCCAGGTCTGCGGGTAAAGCGCTCGAGGCACGAGACCACGTGGGACAACCAGGCTGATCAGCTGTGCAGGGCCGCATCATGTTTGCCGCATGAGTCGATCAATCGATGATTGGTCAGAGCTGGCACGCCCACTTCCTGGGGCGCCAAGCCGCTCGAGTCCGCACATAGCGGAGGGGCAGCACGAGACCGACGTCGTGCAAGAGGGAAGCGATCATCACTGAATGCCTCTAGATGGCCTTGTGGAAAGATAGTGGTGCTCTGGAGCAGGCGTTCCCCACCGTCGGTCATGGGTGCAAGTGACGGGGAGTCCGCATACCAAGACGGAATCCAGGCCATCGAGATGGAGCGCCCGAGCGAGCACGGGCAAACATCTGAGCCTTGCGAACATGTCCCTTTACCACACCCTCGATCTCACTTCAAACGCGCCGGGCTGTGCTCGGGAGGACGAAGAGGTCGCAACCTTGCGTTTCTTATGTGTCTCCTTCTCTTGGTGCCCTCGCGACGCCTGGGACGCGCACGAGAGCAAGCGTCGTGATTGGCGCGAAATTGAGGAATGGCCCCGCGCTGGGCATGAGTGTTGCGCCAGGGACAAGCTGGAGACCATGACATCAGCACATACAGTGTATGCGGCAAGATTTCCCCGCGCCTCTTTCTTCTTCGCCTTCCCCGCGATTTTCGTTATATGATTACGATTCCACGTTTCCTTGCTCGGCACCCCCCATCCTCCTGTAGATCTGGGCACATGTACATGAGATCCATGTCCCGTATGTCTTTCCGAACCACTCGCATCCAGAGCATAGTTGGTTTCCGCTAGTGCTTCCAAAGGGTGCTGGCACAGCTTGGAGTGTTTGGAGTTCTTGATTGCATTATGATGAGTTTGCCCTGGTGGGCAGGAGTTTGGTAGGTTATCCACGGTTGCCCGTTTCTGTCGTTGGTGTCAAATCGTCGGACCCTGTCGTCACTTGCGATTGTCACCTCTCTGGGAATCGATCGTTAGGGTCCCAGAACGAGTGGGCTCCACAAAACCAGTCCCACGCGAGAGAAGCCCACACGATAGGGTCCAACGATCCGATTGGATCTCACATCTTGAACCGCACAGAGTATTCCGCATAGAGTGCACCGCGTATATTGCACCCAGATGTGGATGAATTGCACCATGCAGGTTGCATCGCGTAGATTGCATTGCAGACGTCGCGCCGCATAGATTGCTTCGCATCGGTGCGTAGAGTGACCCAGATATTGCCCCCCGCAAATTGCCCAGAGCAATTGGATGGGGTCCACGCCAGTTTCACGTTTCACCATGGATTTGCAAGGGCCTTCGTGAGTTTTATGTACCGCGCGCATGAGCGTGTCTCGTCCACGCGAGATCGCCTGAAGCGCCCTTGAGGCAGCGAAACTGGGCGGCGATGCCTATACTATCAGGATCCATCCCTACTGCTCCTCCCCTGCGCCACCCGTCCTTGGCCTTCTCTCATATGTCTCCTCTTGTCTCCTCCTCCTCATCATCAGCATCACCACCATCATCATCATCATAGTCATCATCATAATCAGCATCATCATCATCATCATCAGCAGCAGCAGTAGCAGCAGCATCATCACCATCATCATCATCATCATCATCATCATCATCATCAGCAGCATCAGCATCAGCATCAGCATCAGCATCAGCATCATCACCATCATCATCATCACCATCCTAGCCAGTCTGGATCTTGCACTTGCTGGAGCGTGGCTTCTAACCTTCCCTGGAACCGCGGCCTCGGGCGCCTGGGCTGCCTTGACCGCATCGAGTGGCCAGCACAACAGGTCGAGGGCGGCAGGCGGGCGCATCTATGCATGAGTCAGGCCGCTGATGCCCACGAAGATCAAGTACCGCTTCGTGCTCCGCCCCCCTGGGGACGGTGCAGCCTCGCCCGCGCTGCCAGCTCAGCTTCGCGAGCAGCTGTGGCACCTTCGAGGGAGACTTGCTCCGCATGCTCTTGTGGATCGTGGACCCCGCTGCTTCTCGTCTGGGCTTGCGGAGGCTGCCTTCTGCCTCCAGCTTGCTCGCCTTGGTGGTGCCTTTTGTCCTTCCTGGGCCTCCCGGCCCCCCCTCTGATCCTCGGCCCGACCTCCTCGACGACGACCGCGACGATGGCGCCGACCCTGGCCCTGGCGGCATCCGTGTCGCCCCAGTGGCGGTAACCCCTGGTCCTCCGGCAAGCGGCCGAAGCACCATGGTGGGAGACTGTTTTTTGGGGGGGTCCGGCGATCACCTGGGTTATCGGGCTTGCCCCCCCTCCCCTCCCCCCCCCCCCCCAAAAAAAAAAATATCCGAACCTTGCCGGTTGTGCAGGCCCGGCGTGGGGGGGGGGCGCGGGCATATGCAGGGTTGCCCACAGCGCGAAGGTTAGGTTATCGGCTGGCCCCCTCCTCCGCCCCCCTCAGGATAACCCAGGTCATCGCCGATTCAACAAAATGGTCTCTTGTGCTAGACGCTAGACCTCTGGTTCCTGAGTTTCCGGCAATTGCCGGGGCTCTCTTTGCTGGTTTGCTCCTCGACGAGCACGTGCGCCGTGAGGGTTTTCCTGGTCCTGCTGCTGCCCTGGGCCGGTCTGCCAGAATCCCCTCGACGCGGCCGAGCTCCAACGGTATCGCAGAAGTTTCGCTCTGTCTCGGAAGAGCGTGTCGTTGCCTTTTGTGGAAAGCATTGTGGTGCGGGGTGCCCTGGCTGCTGAAGCCCGTCACCTCCAAGCCTGGTTTCTTCATCGGTCTGGCCTGTGTGCTCTCGGTGCTGAGCGACGGCGGCCCAATGTGTTGCATGCAGAGCTAATGCAACAGATACGTCGGACGGTTGGCTGGGTGGACGACCTTGAATGACACACTTCTCTCCTTCAGATGATCTTTACCAACTCTGTGCTGCAGCAACACATACAGACGGCTGGCTTGATGATCGGTGAGTTCCGTTCCTCTCGTCCTAGACCGCATTGAGGCGGTGTTCCTCGTTACGCTTCCTGTTGTGTTGCCTCTGCTCGTCTCGTCTCGTCGTTCTGTCGCCTCCCCTCTCTTTTGCCCGTTCCCTCGCGTTCTCGTTTCTGCACTCTGGGGTTGCCGTTTCGTTCCCCGCGGCCCCGCCGCCTTCTGTGTTGTTTCTCTTGTCGTCCTCGATGGGCCGTTCTCTCGGAGACCTCTTCTGGGTTTCGAGGGGCGTTTGCTCCAGTCTCCAGTCGGTGCCTTTTCATGGGGGACGTGCGGCACGGGTGCTGGAACGAACGTGGAACAGGCGAGTGAAGCTGGACAAGCAGAGAAGGGAGGAACAAGACAAGCATTCTTCCTCCTCTTCTTCATCCTCCTCCATAGCCAGGGCAGTGCGTTCTGATGTTATAATCCTTGCTTCTATCTTCCTCCCCCTCGTCGTCGCCGCCCACCCTTCCTCTAGGAAGGCACCTGCCTCGTAAAAGACCCCATCCGCTTGCTCTGTGAGCCGCCCCCCCTGGCGCTATCCCCGTCTGGACGCCGCCGAAGCTCCCTGAGAGGATGCCGAACCGACTGGGCGAGAGCGAGCGAGCGCTCCCCCTGCCCTGCCTGCACCTCCCTGGAGATGTCTCGCCTCCGCTCCGCCCCTCCCTCTTCCCGCTCTGCCCCCAGTTGCTTCGGCGCGCCCCGCCCCGAGCCCGACCCGCGACCCCGACCGCTTCCGCACCTCTGCGCCCGCCGACGTACGACGAGGACTACGAGGACGACCACGACCACGACGACCACGACGACCACGACGACCACGACGACCACGACGACGACCCCGACGACCACGACGACCACGACGACGACCACGACGACGACGACGACAACGACCACGACAACGACCACGACGACCACGACGACGACGACGACGACGACGACCACGACCACGACCACGACCACGACCACGACCACGACCACGACCACGACGACCACGACGACCACGACGACCACGACCACGACCACGACGACGACGACGACGACGACGACGACCACGACGACGACGACGACGACCACGACGACGAACGACGAACGACGAACGACGAACGACGAACGACGACGACGACGACGACGACGACGACGACGACGACGACGACGACGACGACGACGACGACGACGGCGCCCGGGCTGTCGTGGCCCGCCCCCGGCGCATCGGGCGCCCCTTCCGGAGCGCCCCCGCGGGCCGAGGCTTCACGGGCTGGGGCCCCAAGGCCGCAGGCGGGCGCCCCTCTCCCCTCTCTGGAGCCCCGCCCGCGCCGGAGGGGGGGGCAGGGAGGGGATGCGACGGGGGGGGAGGCCAGAGGAGGGAAGAGGTACGGACTTACGACGAGGACTGCGAGGACGAGGGCTACGAGGACGACCACGACGACGACGACGACGACGACGACGACGACGACGACGACGACCACGTCGACGACGACGACGACGACGACGACGACGACGACGACGAGGAAGGGGATGTACGGGGGGTAAGTCAGGGGAGGAAGAGGTACCGATATCTCTACCCCTCCATCGTTTTTGGCCCCTCGGGCGCATCCTGCGAGGCCCCCGTCGCCACCGCCGGATTCGCGTCGCACTTCTATGGTCAGATGGCACTCCGGGGGAGGTCCGGAGAGCAGCGGTGTCGGTGCCTTCTGGTTTCCCCAGGAGTGAGTTGCTCCATGTTGCGCGTCGGGATGGCGTCCCCGAGTCCCCGACAGTTGGAGTGTCCTAGAAAATTTGGTCGATTTCGTCATCATGGGGCCCATTTTCAGGCCCTGGGGCAGTCAAACATGTATCCGGGATGAAAACGTACCCCTGGGGAAGGGATCGGGAGCTTTTTCGGCGGCGCGCCCAGGAGGGAACGCAGAGGGGGCGGGCCTTCTCAGAAGGCTCAAGAGGCCGCCCGGCCTTCTGGTAAACGTTCTAGCTTTTCTCTGGCGATACAGACGGCTTCTCAGGAGATGCGAGGGCCCCTGAGACGTCCCGCCGCCGCCTGAGAAGGCCCGCCTCCTGTCACTTCCCTCTCCGGCGCGCCGCCGACGCTTTCAGGGGCAACGCTGAGGGGGCCACGCATTAAAACATGCATCGTCGGATGTCTGGGTCTGGGAGCTGTCTGGAGACCGATCTGGCTGCCGTTTGTCTATTTTTGTTTCGCCGATCGGCAACGGTCCCTCGACCCCCCCCCATAGACCAGATCTTGACTGCGGGCTGCTCCTGGCGACTGGCCCCCAAGCCTGCTTGCGCGACTAGCAAAAGCTGATCGACGGAGCACCAGCCCAGGCCCAGACCCCTCGCCCCCTCCCCCACCCTTCGACCAAATACCGAAGCCCAAAACTAGCGACTGGTAAGAAGCAGGTCGGCTGAGCACCAGCCCAGGCCCAGACCCCTACCCTTCAGTCGGGGCTGTCCCTCTACTGGGGGAATATTCAAACATAGTCAAAAAATACTCTGGGGACTATTTTTTGATTACTGTTTGACCATTTGGGAGTATTTTTTTAACTATTTTTGATTGTCCCTCCAGGATCCCCGTGTAGGGGGACAGGCCCGACCTAACCCTACCCCTTTCCTACCCTTCGACCAAGTGTCGAAGCCCAGAGTCGCGACCAGAACGCCCACCCGGGGCGAAGGATTGGCGCTCGGGAGATCCGCGCCGCCCATGGCGCGGCCGCGGCCGCGGCAGGCGCGGGCCCCATGGCGGGCGCGGCTCGGGCCCGGGAGCCCACGGAAAACGGCCCAGGGTCGAAGAAAACCCGCGCGAAAGGCACGGCCAGGGTCTGGGGAGCCCCCTCGAGCGGAGACTGGGTCAAGTCAAGCAGTGGCGAAGCGTCCTTACCTGCCTCTGCCCCCCCCAAAGGATGTTCTAAGAACCTTCGGGTGGTTTGCACAAGTTTGGTTAAGAACACGTTTGGCTGAGACCGCCTTGTTTTAACCAGCCAGGTCCGTGCTCCAAGAACATCGTAGTTGTGCTCAGAACGCTGTTTTGTTACAAAGATATGCCGTGGCAGGCTTGTTGGAATCCCCAGATGGTCGGCCTCTCTGCTCAATCGAAGTGGAACGGTTCGCTGAACGAGCGGTCCCTGGTCAGCCGTGTCAGAGACCAGGGCCCACGCTGCCCGGGCGGGGCTAGGACGAGGACACATCCGTTTTCCAGAGTGTTCCGGGGCGCTCCCAGAGCGTTCTGGGACGCCGTGGAACGGCCGTGGCGTCTGAGACAACATCCTCTGGAGCCGCCGGATCTCAGAGGGGTTCATCCTCACCCGGATGTATCGGCGTCCTGGCTTCGTCTCAGTTGTGAACGAAACACGTCCGAGGTCGTCCTCGGCCCCATCCTTGGGCGCCACCTCCTCGTGGCCGCATCGACCCGCGAAGGCGCCGAGCCGAACCTTCGGGCGGACTGCAGCAGGGGGGAGCACGGGGAGGGGAGAATACGTCGCTCCACGGCGTCCCAGAACGCTCTCACAGTGCTCCTCCTCCTCCTCCTTCTCCTCCTCCTCCTCCTCCTCCTCCTCCTCCTCCTCCTCGTCCTCCTCCTCCCCTCCTCCTCCTCCTCCTCGTCCCTCCTCCTCCTCCTCCTCCTCCTCCTCCTCCTCCTCCTCCTCCTCCTCCTCCTCCTCCTCCTCCTCCTCCTCCTCCTCCTCCCCCCTGCAATGGGGGCAGAAGGCGGAAACAGTGCGACAGCAGCGTCCACCTCGGATAGGCGGCGATTGCCGCGAGCGTTGCGGCTGCGTGACAGGACAAGCGTGCCGCACCGGTCGGGCTCTCCAGGGCACTCGGGCGCCCTCCTCGAGGGCCGCGCAGCAGGGCCGTGCAGCTGCGTAGGCCCTGCCAGCTGATAGGGCGAGCAAGGAGCGAGGAGCGGGGAGCGAGGGGCGAGCAGGTGGCGGAGGAGAAGGTTGAGGAGGAGGACGAGGAGGAGGAGGGAAAGAAGGAGGAGGAGCGAGAAGCGAGGAGGAGCGAGCGAGAGCGAGGCGAGGAGGAGCGAGAGGAGGAGGAAGGAGGAGGAGAGGAGGAGAGGAGGAGGAGGACGAGGAAGATTCGGAGAAGAAAGAAGGAGGAGGAGGAGGGGTGGAGAGAGAGGAGGAGGAGGAGGAGTAGGAGGAGGAGGAGGAGGAGAGGAGGAGGAGAGGAGGAGCGAAGAGGGACGGAGGAGGAGGATGAGTGGGAGGAGGTAGGAGGAGGAGGAGGAGAGGAGGAGGAGGAGGAGGACTCCGTCGGCGCGAAAGAGAGAGAGAGAGAGAGAGAGAGATATGGAGAAAGCACCATGGGAGCGGCGGCCCCCTCCCAGACGCTGCCACGGCGGCGTCCGGCCGCGGCCCCCGCTCGCGGCGCTCCCTGGCCGCGCCTCCCCCCGCCGCCGCCTCAGGGCCTCCTCGGTCGAGGCCCCCATTCCCAGACTGCGGGCAATACTGAGATCCATCTCCAGAGCGTCGTGGACGTTTGGGGAAGGGGTGCCGCAAGGCCGAGGCGCACTGGATACGGATAGACATCTAGCCTTGTTGGGCCAGATGTTTTTCCATATCCAGTGCGCCTCTGGTTTCTTGGGAAGAGAGTCCAAACTTACAAGACGCACTGGATGTGGATATCTATTGCCCGCACAGGCCCCCTCGAGTCATGAAGAGATCGCGACGGGAGTTGTTGTTTTGCTATGTTCGGCCTCTGGGGGCCCTCACTGGGCCGCGGGGCCTTCGAGAAACGCTTCAGGATGAGACGCCGACCCCGGGGGAATGGGTCGAGGCCTCTGGGGCTCGACGTCGTGAACAAAATATGACGTCGGGGGTCTGAGGCGATCGATCGATCGATCCCAGCGCCAATGTGGACAGGCCTCCGTGGGCGAGCCGGTGGCACGCGGGCCACGATGGCAAGTGCGCTCGCTCTGGCCGCTGCCCCCCCCCCCCCCCGCCCGAGCGGCCAACGGCTGGGGCGGCCGCACGGGCCGCTCGGACCGGGCCCCGTGGCCGCGCCCCCGTGGGTACTTTGGTGCCGCTCCACGCCTCGCCAAGCTGTAACAGACGTCGACGTTCTGGCTGAGGACGGTTCCCACGACCAGAAAGATGAAGACGGAGAGCCACTCGATGCTGTAATCGAGAGCCTCCCGCCCAATCGACAAAATCCCTGACCGTGACTCTGGGGGTGTAGGACAGTAAACCGGCCAATCCTCCTACGGCAGAGTGCCGGACGTAATATGCATTTTGTGCAACGCACGCTGCTGTTCGTCGGCGCCGCCAGAGGTCGGCCAAAATGGCCTGGGACCTTGGCCACGACGCTTCTCTCGGCACCTGGTAGAGGTAGCAGCAGCCGAGGGCATGGAAAACTGGTCCTGTCCGTGCCCATCGCGCTTCGACGGGGATTGATAGTCGAGATTTCCGACTATGCTCGGCCTTCTGGGCCTCGGATGTTTCCGAAGGCCTCCGCGGGACCTCCAGGGACCCCTCGGAGGCCTCTGGAGGCTTCGAGGAGCACCCTTGGCAGGGAAGTTCTCAGATCAGGGAGACAATTATCGGGTTGGGAGAATGGGGTTGGGAGGAATGAGGATGTCCTTGCCCGAAGGCGGCCGAAGGCATCGTCCACTGCATCTGGACGCTGCTGCTCATCGTCCATTCGTCCTCGCAACCCCATTCCCTCCCCGCACGACGCATGCCCCCCTCCTCCGACCTCCAGGCCCTCGCCGCACCTCCGCCCGAGCGCGGTGCTGGCTCGAGAGCCGAGTCGGGATGCCGCCAGGGAGCACCACGACGCGGGCGGAGGGGCCGGCGGAAGGGGAGGCGGCGGCCGGCACCGGCAGGGCCAGCGGCGCCAAGAGGCGCACACGCCTGGAGCGGGCGCGGCCCCGGGGCACGACGCTGCGGGGACCCCCGCGGCGGTGGCGGTGTCTCCTCCTCCTCTTCCTCCTCCTCCTCCTCCTCCTCCTCCTCCTCCTCCTCCTCCTCCTCCTCCTCCTCCTCTTCCCTCTGCTCGTCCTGGCCTGTGCTGCAGCAGTCAGACTGGCCACTCGGGCTGGCAAGAGTCGGGGAGCTTGATCTTGAGTTCCTGTGTCTTGAGGACTGTGTGTTTGCACCCGTGGTGGGCGCTGCCCCACCCAGGCTCGTATGCCGCTCTTGCTTTAAATATCTTTCTAGTTATCCTCTCGGCGTGGATACGTGGATCATCGACTCGTCAATCTTCCGTTTGGGGCGGCGGATTTCGCCGGGCGCGGGACCTTGCTGGCGACGCGCGTGGCGGTGGCCGACACCGCCAGGCGCGGCCCGCGACTCCTCTAGCGCGTGCGACGTGCATGTTGAGCGGGGCGCCACCTGCGAGTACACCACGCGCGCTCTTCGCGGACAGGCTCGGTTCAGCAGCGGTGGCGGGCACGCGGCGGCCAGAGGGCGGGAGCAGAGGGAGCGATGCAGCCTCTAGGTGGCTTTGCCCGCCTCCTCCCCCTCCTCCTTCTCAATACGTCTGCTCCTTCTTTTCTTCCTCCCCTCCTCCCCCTCCTCCGCCTCCACCTCCAACGCGCGCTTGGGAGCGAGCGGGCAGGTGGGATCGACGGAGAGGGGAGGAGGGAAGACAAGGGGGAGGGCGAGGAGGAGGGGAATGGAGCCCAGACCAGTAACTCATTTCTGTTTGAGTCGGCGTTCCCTGACGCTCACGACCCCTCCCCTGGGACAGGGCTTTCAGCCGTAGCAGTGCTTTCCGACACCCGAAACGCCTCCCCGCAGTTCAAATCAGCAACGAAGCGTCTGGCGCGTGTGTTCTGGAAGGCTTGTGACATGAAGGGAGGCAGGGGGCACCACGGAAGCTGGCACCCTCGCCGGTTTCCGTTTTCTTCCTTTCTGCGCCGCCCTCGCTGTACTTCGTCGACCCGCCTGGAGACCCCTCCTCGTGCTTCTCCTCCCTTTGCCTCCGTGAAGCATCGCCTCAGCGAAGCATCGGTGACGGCGCCTACAGCGGCCGCCGCCGACGGCGGCGATGGCGACGACGACGACGACGCCGGCGACGACAACGGCGCTCACGAAGACGCCGACGACGACAGCGGCCGCCACCGCTGACGGCGACGGCGACGACGCCGACGAGGCCGACGACGACGGCGGCGGAGTGGCGGCGGCGGCGGCGGCAGCGATCGATCGGCGGCTGCGGCGAGCGATCGGCGCCCGAGGCCTCGCCGCCGGGAGCCACGCCGCCCGCCTCCGGCAAGAGCGGCCTGTCTGGGCGCCGCGGCGGCCCGGCTCGCGGCCCGACGCGCAGGAGCGGCCCGTCGGCCGCCGGCCGTCGGCGTTGGCGCCGGCCACTGTCGTCCGTCGGCCGCCAGCGGGGTCGTCGCCGCCGTCGGCCGTCGGCTGTCACCGCCGTGCGCCCGCCGCAGTCACCGCCTTCGGTGCCGTTGGCCGTCGGCGGGGTGGCCGTCGCCGCCGCCGCCATCGCCGCTGTCAGCGATGCCACCGTCGCCGTCGCATCCATTGTCGTCGCCGCCGTCGTCGTCGCCGTCGTTCGTCGCCGTCGTCGCCGCTGTCAGCGTCGTCGCCGTTTTTGGCGTCCGCCGTCGTCGACAGCGTCGCCGTTGTTTTGAAGAGGTCAGTACGGATTTCTTGGATCCACGCTGCACCCCCGCTCTCTGGCGCGTGGAGCGCGCCAGGGGCGCTGCTGGAATCGCCGCCAGGGAGGTCCAGCGCTGATCCAAGAAGTCCGCGCGACGCTTTGAACATGTATGCTTATGCCATGGTGTGTTTCTCCAGCACCAACACACAACGACATCGGCTACAGGGATTCCTCTTCTTTTTTATCCTTGGACTACGTACACAGTTTTTTTCATATGTCCCGCATGCATGCCTCAACAGATACTAATCTCGAGGCTAAGGTCTAACCCACTGGTCTCACGAGGCCCGGACAATTGTCCGCTCTGGTGGTTCGTTCGTTCGCTCGTTCCAGGAGGGGGAGGAGCTGGAACAAGCCTCACCCGCGTACGTCGATGCCCGATGGGGGGACCCACCAGTTGTCGAAGGCAGGTGTTTCTGGACTCCCAGAGCCCAATCTACTTTAGGCGCCCTCCTACTTCAATCAACAAGCGTCTTTCCCTGCTCCTTCATCTTCGCTTCAGGGGGCGGGCGGAACCCTATTCTATTTCCAACGCCGTCATAGACTCCATGATTCTACACACTTCTCCCGACCGGTGGGTAAGTTTTTGCTGGGGGGGATTTTGTAGGCCGCTTCTGGCCATCGCGTCGGGCCTCCAGGGACATTCGGGGCCTTCCGGGGACCTCCCCAGGGGGCCTCCCCAGGGGGGGGTCGGGGCCCAGGCCGGCAGCAGATCCTGCCGGAGGGGAGCTGGAGGAGCGGGCACAATGTCCCCCGCAAGGAGCACCGTGGGCATCCCGACGATCTACCCGCCGTTTGTGATGTCCGAGGCGCGGGCGCCGCGGTGTTTGTACCTACTTCTTGCCTCTCGTTCCGTTCCCTCGTCCCTCGGCTCCAGTTCCTGCCGCTCCTCCTGTTACTGCTCGACGTGCTCCTGCCCATCCTTCGCCTCGTCGGTGTCGTTCTCCTCCTCCCCCCTGGTCTGGAACCCTTCCCCCCCTGTTTTCTTGATCTGCTGCTCATCCCTCCCTCCGTTCTCCCTCGTAGACGCCTCTGCCTCCTGGTCAGCATCATCATCGTTCGACTGCGTGGCCATTGTTGTTTGTTGTATATTCGAAGTCCCAGTTCCTCGCTGTGGGCGCGCTCAGGCAGGACATGTTTTCTGAAGACCCCGACAGGTCCCCGGGAGTCCTTGGATGCCATCGCGCAGAGGAAGCCGAAGGTCTGCAGAATCGTCCAGCGGCTGACCCCTCCCCGCAAACGTCCAGAACCCATCGATCCTCCGCTTCCCCCCACACCCCTCCCCCGCTGGAGCAAGACAGTTTCGGACTGACGGCTCTGCGCGGGGCCTTTCTCGGTAAGCACGGAGCGGAAGTGCTGGCCATCATCGACGAGGGCCTCAGCCAGCGCTCGCCTAAGCCCTCATCGAGCTTCCGCTGATTTCCCGCGGTCGATCCATTCGGAGTGTCCCAGTTCTGTATCCAGGAGGGAGGGAGGGAGAGGACGAGGACGACCAGGAGAAGCCGTCTTCCGCCTTGGGGGATTCTCGTCGCCACGGCTGGAATTCCTTCGAAATGACGCCAAGAGTGCACCGCTGGACAGGTCCGGGCCTTGATATTTTAGGGAGTATAGGGAAGCAGGAGCAGGAGGGGGGGACCTGTTCTTCATCCTGAGTCGCGTTGCGACGATCCGAATAATTAAGGAAGGCCTTCAGGAAGCCGAACATGTTGAGAATGAGCATAAGCTGCGCGATACCTTCGAGCCTCAAGAAGCCATGGGGGGAGGTGGAAGAGGAAGAGGAGGAATATGAACTTGAGGAGAAGGAGGAAGAGGAGGAAGAGGAGGAGGAGGAGGAGGAGGACCGGTGTAAACACAAGATTTATCAACAATGCTGGGAGAAACCCTTCAAGCTCCCTCCTACAGGGGTTCATTCCCACCGAGGGAATTGGCCCGTTGGGGGACAGCGTGCGTGCCAAAACACCATTCTCTGGACTTCAACGAGTCAACCTGGCTGTTGCGTCTTGACGGTCCTGAATCGCGCCAGAACGCAATTCTTGGAACTTCAATACCGCGAACCAACGTAACTGTTGCACCCTGACAATCCTGAAGCAATCCGAAAAACCATCTCCGGTACGTGAGAATCAGTGAAACGCATTTATTGTTTCAAATTAATATGTATGTGTATATACATAATCGAGAAAACGAATACGCGCGCGGCTCTGAAGCGAGAGCCACCTTTTGAAAGGGAACCGCCCTCAATCCGATCCGTTGAGCTATTGTTATGCTGAGCGAATGTGCGCTGGCCTAACACGAGATCCACCTTTCGAAAAAAAACAACCACCCTCAATCCTCACCACCCTTGCAATGTTATACGACGAATGTGCGCCGCGCTGACGCGAGAGCCACATTTTGAAAATCACCCGCCCTCAATCCGTCAAGCTCTTGCAAGCTTGCATGACTAATATGAGTGGCGCTGAGGTGAGAGCCACCTTTTGAAAATCGCCCTCCACTCGTGAAGCTCTTGCAAAGTTTTTGACAAACGTGCGCGGCGCTAAGGCGAGAGCCACTTTTTGAAAACCACCAGCCCTCAATTCGCGAAGCTCTTGCAAGTTTTGAAAGACGAGTGCGCGCGACGCTTAGGCGAGAGCCACATTTTGGAAGTGACCCGCCCTCCATCTGGGAAGCTGCTTCCAGCGTTTAAGCTTCAGGCTCATCCATGGTAAGGAAGTCCCAGGCGAAACGCCCGGCCCGCCCTTCCGACTAGCCTCGGAGTGCGACAGGGAGAGGAGAAAGACAAGGAGGAGCTGGAGGAGCTCGAGGAGCCGAATCAGAGATTTGATACTCGATTTTCCTCGCGGGTCGACCGCATTGACACATTCAGGATTTTCAATCCTAGGGCAGTCCTGCGCGGGCAGATGGGCGCGGGCAGCGGCAATGCCACGGGACGAACAGTTACAGTCGAAACCGACGGCAAGCATGGGTAACTTTCCCAAGGGTACCCTTGCATCCGTGCCTCCCTGGCCCATCCTTGACAACTTTCGATGGCCAGCCGCGCTCGAAGAAGCTTCAGCGTAGGCATCCATTGGTCTCGCATCTTTATCACGCATCCTTACTATCAGTTTTGACTGCAGACCCACAGGTTTGGCACACGTTAATTGCGGCACGTGTTTGTGTTTCTGCAAGTTTGCCCAGGCACCCACTCGGAGCATGTAAATTCGACCGCAGTCGTCCCTTCTCTCATTCCCCAAATTCGCTGGGGAAAAGGGAGGCACACGGGTATGAACGGACACGTCTGAGGACTTGGGACGATCTTGGCGCAGGCGTGTCTTGAGGATTCTCGCGTGTGCCCATGCCCAACGCTACACGGGCAGAGGTGAGCAGGAGGAATTGCAAGATCGCATTGGCGCTTCGAGCCATGCACCTTGTTCCTCAGATCTTCGCAATAAAGCTGGACATATGTTCAACCGAGCAGAAGACCGAATCCACGGGGTGGCACCTTCTTGTCGCTTCCTTGTACCTTTCAGCGTGTCTCGCCATATGCCTCCTCTTGTGTCTTCCTTACGTTCCTCTGGTTATTCGCTTCTGCCCCTTGCGGGCGCCGCGCGTCATTGTTTCGGCGGCCATTTTGAGCCGCCTCGGCGCGCTCCAGAGGGCCTGTCCAGCCATGTTTGGGGGGCTGTCAGGCGGGGCTCTAGGAACTTCTTGGGGCCATCGTGTTGCCAGCCGCGGCTGCCCTCAACGACCAGGTCCCGAGTTGGAGTCCTGTCTGCGCGGGGAGTATTGAGCCGTCTTGACCGTGTTACAGTTGTCTTGGGGTAATTCGCCTTGGGGCCAGGTTGGGCCGCGTTGACGCTACTTGCCTTGGGGCGAGGTTCAGGGCTTTTTGAGCGGTCTCGGACCCCCAGAAGACAGAATATGCAACAACCAAGGATAGTTCGACGGCCTCAAGAGACTATCCAGAGCGGCCTCCCCGCAGCCCTGGATTAGATAAGGCGATGGACTCCGTGCCTCTGTATGAAGAGGTGCATCAGATGAGTGTATTGATACTATGTAAGTAGTAACGTTTCATATGTGTATATGATAGATGTGCGTTCATATGTACACCAGACGTATGTATGCACTCATACATATATGTATGTATGTATGTATGTATGTATGTATGTATGTATGTATGTATGTATATATGTATGTATGTATGTATGTATGTATGTATGTGTGTATGTATGTATGTATGTATGTATGTATGTATGTATGTGTGTATGTATGTATGTATGTATGTATGTTTGTATGAGTGCTTGCATGCATGCATGCATGCATGCATGTATGTATGTATGTATGTATGTATGTATGTGTGTATATATGTGTGTATGTAGGTATGTATGTATGTATGTATGTCTGTATGTGTGTATGTGTGGATGTATGTATGTATGCATGTGTGCTTACTCATATTTGTGTGTGCAGATGTGCGTGTGGACATACAAACATGCATGTGTCTGATTCCGAAGGCCTTCGTGAAGAGCCCAGACAAACCACCTCTACACACACCTGGACGCAAGGTTCCCGCAAAACGGCGCGGTCACTCCCGGCCGAAGCGAGGGGCCCCACGAGCGGCAACCAACGCGCGTCGAAGACGTCACAAAACGGATGTCACGCCTGCGCGCAGACGGGCTCGCGGCAAGCGAGGCGGCTATGCCGCCCGAGGGAGGGGCACGGGGGGGGAGGGAGAGGATCGAGAAACGAGATAGGACGGCGTGCTTTGTCGCGAAGTTGCCCACTTCTCCACAGCCCGCTCCTCCCTGCAGAAAAATGCAGACCGATGCATATATGCGTCCCACGACTGTCTCGACGGCAATCCGTGATCTTTGCGCAAGAATTCATCGGCCATGGATGGGCACAGGTGTATCCCAGGATTGCCCCCGGTAGGCCGGTAGCTCCCAGCGTCCAAAGACGTGCCCAAGGCGGCAGATTTCCGACCAAGCAGCCGGCAGGCGCTTCTAGACGCCCTCATGGGGCTTCAAGGTGGAGATGTTGAAGCCGCATCGGGCGATCTAGGTGGCAACTTGGAGCTTGTGAAGACATTGTTGGGGCCTGCTTCGTACGTATCTCAAGGCCGATCCAAGCCAGCCCCAGCAATCTCTTCTGGGACATCGTGTGGAGGCATCTTAGAGCCAGGGGCGGCCCCAACTTGTCAAATGCTTGATTCACTGCATGTGTGTATGGACGGATGGATTAGTTCATGGGTGCATGGCGCATGTATGTTTGCACGGAGAAATGGATCGAGTCGAAGGATGCGTTTGTGGTTGGTTGGTTGGTCTCGCGGGTTGATTGGGGATGGTTGCCAGGTTTCTTGATCGATTCTGAACGGTTGTATGCATCGGATTCGTACATGGAAGAACGGGCGAATGGATTTATGCGTGTATGGTCCCAGGACAGAGCTGAAGCGTGTTGTGCTGCCCACCGTCACGGCAGGTGCATCTCCATTGCGGTTGCCGTGGGTTTTATTCGCATCCACGTTGTTGCCGCAGCCATCGACATCTTCCGTCCTCCCAAACTTCTCACGAGTCGGTATGTTCAGATCGCTAGCCCATGAAGCCTTCGACCCCTTCTCCTGGGACCAGCTTCCCATCCAAGGTTCGTATTGTTTGTCCCTGGGCCCGGAAAAGGCCTCCGCACTGTTTGTTCGAGTCGCCAGACGGTCGAATTGTATCCGTCGCGTCGTCGATGTCATCGCGTTCCCATCACAAGTTGGCCGCACCGCGTTGCAGCCTTGCACATACGGAGGAGGCGGGGAAGGGAGGGCGGAAAGGGAGGAGGAGGATAGAGGATGAGGAGGAAGAAGAGGAAGATGAGTAATTAGCTGGACGTGGAGGATGACACACATGGACTTGGTGGTTGCGAGGGCTCGGGATTCCTCGGAGAGTAGCAGGGGATCGAGAGCCTTGGCAGGATGGAGGGTCTTCTAGTCCGCCTCAGAAGTGTTCCCCACTTGGGACCACATTCTCCTCCTCCCTCTTCCAATTCCTCCTCCCCGTCACGGGCCACGAAAAATCTGAGGTTTGGGGGGGTAAGTTCGAAGCGAAACGGAGCCCCCCAACCAGGACATCAGTTTCACTTTCGGTTCGTGTCGTGCGTCACGTGCGTGCGGGCGAGGCGAAGTTGCACAAGTGCATACACTAGCTCGCCCCAGGACCCCCCAAGATGAGTCGCTTCCGCGCCCGTCGGGGCCTGCCCCGGGATGTCCTGCGGTTGTCCCGTGATTGTCTTGTGGTTATCCCGCGAATGTTTCGTGGTTGTGTTGTGGTTGTCCCTTGGATGTCCTCAAAATGTCCCGTAGTTGATCCGTGGCTGTGGTGTGGTTGTCACACGGTTGTCCTATGGTTGTCCCGTGGTTGTCCCGTGATTGCCCCGCGGTTGTTTTGTGTGTTGTCCCGTGGTTGTCCTTCGATTGTCCAGCGGTTGTTCTTGGGCTGTCCCGTCGCTGTCCCGTGGCTGCCCCGCCTGAAAGATAGGGAGATGGTGGGACCGACAGCGAGTTATTGAGGCCGAGCGATATGTGCATACATAGTGGCATCGATCGATGGATAGTCAGATGGATGTCCCGTGGTTGCGTCCCGTGGTTCTCCCGTGCTTGGCCCGCGGGTTTGTCCCGCGGGTGTCCCGTGGTTGCCCCGTCGTTGTCCCGTGACTGTCCTGTGGTTGTCCCGTGGTTGTCGTGCGGTTGGTTGTGGTGTTTCCTCGGTTGTTTCTTGGTTGTTCCGCTGGTGTATATACGAAATGCTGTCATACATATATATATATATATGTACAAATACATGTGCGTGTGCATATACCAAGAGGTATCGATCTGCAGACAGTGAGGTCGACGGATAAAGAGGCATCGAGATCGGAAGATCGAGAGGTTGACGTACACATAGATCTATACACATACACGTGTGCGCATACATTGTTGGAGTGATCGAACAGTAAAGAATGTGGACCAGTAGATGGGGGTATCGATATCGATAGATTGACAGATCGCGAATCAGATCCAACGCCAATTGCAAACCGAATGCTCCACCAATCCACCCCCCCACCCCCCACACATCCTTATCATCCGAATGATGGTCCTATAGGTATTCATGGCCTCGGGTCTGGGCACCGAGGCGCGATGTCATGGATACGATCCGGGCGGGGCAGCTGCGCAAAGCCGCCTGTATCCACGGAGTCGCGGCCGAGGAGTCCAGAGCCCGAGGTCGTGGATATGGGCAAGATGATTCCCACCCGCGATTTCCCCCATCCCCCCCTCCTTCCTCGTTCCTGTCCTTCCCCCTGTCCCCTATGCTCCCTGCTCCCGGGAAGGGGAGGGAATCCATTCCAGCTGCCCCCAGGACCCGCACCAGTTGAGGCTATGCGTTCTTGCATGAGGCTCCCTGGCGCTCAGGCCGGGCTGCCTTGCTTCGCTGTGCCGCTGGTGCGCGCGTCTACCGCGGCCGCGTGCAGGCGCACACGCGCTTGGCCGTCCCAGTGCAGGCGCTGGCCGCGCAGGAGTCGGGCAGCCGATCAGTCGGATCACGAGCACGAGGTCGCAGGGCCGTGGGGGATAGCCTCTGGAAGCGGGGGCGAGGAAGAGTCAGGCAATCGCAAACATGGATTGAGGGGGCGTGGATTAGCGACGGGTCCCGTTTCCATGGGGTGTCGCGGATTGCCGCCGCCGAGCGGGGCGGCACCGGCCGCACTTTGGGGAGGGCACCTCCCCCGATCCATGGATTTGGCGACTGCGCGCCAAATCCATGGATCGCTAATCCATGTCTGTGCGCCCCCGGAAGAGGAAGAGCGAGAGCGGGAGCAACCTGAGAAGCAAAGCAGGTGCTGGGGCAGGCTCAGGACCAAGGGCGTGAGCAGGAAACATAGGTAACATAGGCAAGGAGAGGAAACGCAGCAAGAGGAGGAGGAGGAGGAGGAAAAGGAGGAGGAGGAAAAGGAGGAGTAGGAGGAGGAGCCTGTGAATGAGGCGGGGGATGCGGAGGAGAGGAGCAGCGACAGAAAGACTAAGTGGGAGCAGGAGCTGGGGGGGGGGGGCAAAGAGGAATAATTGAATGGAGAAGGGGATGGACGGCAGCAACAGTAGGAGGATGGGGCTGGAGAGGAGGCGGTGAAGAGCAGGAACAGATGAGCAGCGAAGCTGATGAGCAGAAGAGAGGAGGGCCACAGGAGAACACGAGCAGGCGTTGATGTAGGGGTGGGTGCAAGAGCATGAGCAGGAAACCCATCCTGAGAGAGAGAGGGATGAAATAAAGGAGATAAAGGACAAATAGCACAGAGAGAGGGAGAAAGATAGAGAGCGAGAGAGGCGAGCAATATACAGACAGACAGACCGACCGACAGAGAGACAGACACACACAGGCAGAGAGAGAGAGACAGAGAGAACGAGAGAGCGTATTAGAAGAGGGACGAGAGAGAGAGAGAGGGACAGAGAAGGAGAAAGAGAAAGAGAGAGTGGGAGGCAGAGACAGACAGAGACAGAGACAGAGACAGAGAGAGAGAGATAAACAACAAAGAGAGGCGGAGAGACAGACAGAGACAGAGTGACAGAGTGGGTGTGAGAGATGGTGTGACAATCAAGAATTTGAGGAAACCCATCCAAAGATCGGGAAGAATAGGGCGTGTAGGAGCATGGCGAAACACATGACGAGATGGAGAAGGAGGATGCGGAAGGAGGAGAGGGAGTCTTTGGAAGCATAGGATGAGTCCGACTCAACAGTCGTAATTGGGCAGTCGCATAGATATAATACGAGCTGAGAAGGAGGGGAGGAAAAAGAAGAAACACTAATGCTTGTCAATGTGAAGCGGGGGAGTCTGAGGTCCCATGCATGGCCACAGGGCTGATGTCGGAGCGACCCACACTACGAATGGCATCCACTCCTCGAGGGATTGACGGTTGGATCCCTCCCCTCGGCCGAAGACGGTGGGAGGTCCGCGGAAGACGGCGGAAGCGAGTACTGGTGATGCGAGTGGAGACAGATCAGGGACGAGTGGTGCTAGCAGACGCCAGCAGAAGCTCAAAAGGAGTCGGGTGAAGGAAAAGCTGGCCTCCAGAGAGAGGGCAACACCGATATCTTCAGCGCGCTTCTTCTCCCCGATCATCGCTCGCCTTCGGCGGGCCGAAGCGCTGCCCACCTCCTCCTGCTCAACCCACCTCTCGCCGTCTCTTCCAGCCCCACCCCCATCCTCTCAGCGACCGATGTGTTACCCATACCCCCCACTGATTCCTCCAGCCTCAGACGCCGAGCAGGTGGGGCATGGACAGAAGCACTGGCCCGGAGTCCGGATTTCCATCTGTGCCCTTCTTTGGCTCCTCGTGTAACTGGGGCATGGGGAGCAGGGCTATAGACAAGACGGCGATCGCCGATCCCATCTTCAGGCAGGTCTAGGATGATGCAACATCGGCCCAGAGATGATCGATTGACCGCCATCCGAATGTACCCTCGTACTGCCATTCGCCTTGCACATCGCTCGCCTCACCCCCTCCTCGGCCGCGCGGCCTGACTTGCCAGGCGCCTACAGTCGGGGCCCTGAAGAAGGAACCCTTTTCGTTGGTGAGGGGCTCCGTGTTCCTTGATTGCTTCACAGTTTGCCTTGGGTTTTCTTTTGGTTTTCGATGGGAAATCTGAGTTTAACTTGTGGGAAAAAAGGGCGTTCCTTTCTTTTTTTATCGTTCCTTAGGTCAACGCCCCGACTGTATTTCCCTGCGCTCCGCCAGTGTTTTCGACAAGAGATGCCAACCCAGTGAGCTCAAGATGCGGAGCGACGTCGCCGTCCCGCGCCCCGCAGGCCGCGCCCCCCGCAAAAGCGCGTCGTGATGCCAACGGTCTGCGCTCGCCTGGATCGGCGGCCCTCGAGCCCTTTGTGATCTGACGCAGGCTGGCCAGAGGATTCATCATCTGAGCGGGGTTTGCGTCGCGCTGAGAGGGGGAACGAAAAATGAGAGCCAGGCGGCTGTCCCGCTTCGGCGTCCCTTGCGGCAGCGAATTGTTCTCTCGGGAACCAGGGTGGCCCGCCCGCTCTGCCTGCCGTGCCACAGCCCGCGCCGCCCGGGCCAGGCTCACACGGTTGGTGGCAGAAGTCAGAGAAGGAACCACCACCACCCCGACCCCCATGATTGGCGTTTGCTTGACGGCCTTGCCCTGTTCGATTCCGTCGGTGGGTGCGTTGACTGAACGGCTTCGCTTGTCGGGGTGCTTATTTTGAGGGTGTTGTCCTTCTGGTTTCTCATTTGGGAGGGATGGGGGGGAAGAGGGGGAGTTGTGGAAAAGTAGGAGGCTGTGCGTTCCGCGCTGCTGGCCCTCTGACGCCCCGGGCTCACTCCGATGGCACGCCGAGGAGAGGAGGGGGGAGCAGGAGCGACGACGACCCAGGAGGGCGTCGACGAGGAGGACGAAGAGGGATGGCGAGGAGCACGGGGAGGACAGGCGGGGGGGGGGCGAAGTAGGTAGAAGAAGGTGAGAAACTGCCGAGCAGGAGGAAGATGATGAGGCGGAGGAGGAGGAGGAGGAGGAGGAGGAGGAGGAGGAGGAGGCCGGGGAGGAGGAGGGAAAGAATGGGGCGGGATGGATGAGGAGGAGGAGGTGGGGAGAAAGAGAAGGAAAAGGAGGAGGATGGGCCGGCAGGAGATGTAGGACAGTGTCAAGTTAGTCAGTGGGGCCCGCCCATTCCCACCCCTCCTTCCCTTCTATAAGGAGGAGGAGGAGGAGGAGGAGGAGGAGGAGGAGGAGGAGGAGGAGGAGAAGGAGGAGGAGGAGAGGAGGAGAGAGGGGGGAGGAGGGAGGAGGAGGAGGAGGAGGAGGAGAGGAGGAGGAGGAGGAGGAGCAGGAGAGGAGGAGAGGAGGAGAGAGGAAGAGGAGGAGGAGGAGGAGGAGGGGAGGGGAGGGGGAGGAGAAGGAGGATGAGGAGGAGTAGGAGGAAGGGGGAGAAGGAGGAGGAGGAGGAGGAGGAGGAGGGGGAGGAGGAGTGGAACGTGTTTCCACCTGGCGAGCGGCCGCGCTCACGCGCGGTCCCACCACCGACGACCTGGCGAGGAGAAAAGAAACGCTGCACGGGCGGGGGCGGAGCTTCAGAGCATCCTTGCGCAGCGCTGCGGCGAGAGCGCAATTGTGCCACCTCTTGGGCGGCCAGGTTTTCAATGAACGTTCTGAAGACGAAGAGCACGCTTCGCGGAGACAGCACTGCCACTCTCTCGTGCAAATTGCGCGGCGCTCGGGCGAGGACGCCACCACTTCGACCCCTCCCGCGCGGCGCCGAGGCGATCGCGACATTTGTTTCGCCCGCTCGCGCGTCGACGAGTTGGCGAGCGCAGAGATGTGCGCCGCACTCGAGCAGGACACGTGAACGCGGCGCCGAGGCGAGAGTCACATTTTACTCTCGCGCGGGATGTGCGTCGCGTCTCATGCCTGTCACGCATGTGTTCAGCGTCAGCTACACCACGTCCATGCTGAGGGCACAAAAGTCTCGACCTCGCCCTGCGTTTCACAGGAAGGATGGGAGGGCCCACATTGGGCCCCCATCGGAAGGCTGGATGGCAAAGTTGGAGTCTCATATTAATGCTGGCTAGCGAATGGAGCGTGTTATCTAGACGGCGCATGCCCCCCACCCCCACCCCCCATGTGGCGAAAATCAAAGGCGGGAGCGGCCAATGCACGCTCGCCGACGTACGCGTCCATGGCGCCCACTGCAGCGGGCCGCCAAAATCCAGGAGGGCGCACTGGGGGGGGGACCACTGTCTCCCTCGTTCATGCGAAGAAGATGATCTAAGCTCTCACCCGTTCACGACAGAAGCCCGAGACTACAGCCAGCCCTCGCTGCATGCTACGTGCCAGAGGAGTCCCTGGAGGAGGATCAGCGGCTGACAGGGCAGCAAGGGCGAGAGGAACCCGACGAGGAGGAGGAAGAGGAGGAGGAGGAGGTGCAGGAGGTGGAGGAAGACACGGGGAGAAGACGGTGGAGGAGGACGCCAATTGGGAGGAGGAAGTTGAGGAAGAGGAAGAAGAGAAGGAGGAGGAGGAGGAGGAGGAAGAAGAGGAGGAGGAGGAGGAGGAGGAGGAGGAGGCAGAGAAGGAAGAATAGGAGGAGGAGGCCGAGAAGGAAGAGCACGAAGAGGAGGCCGAGAAGGAAGAAGAGAAGTAGAAGAGGAGGAGGAGGAGGAGGAGGAGGAAGAGGAGGAGGAAGAGGAGGAGGAGGAGAGGGGGACGAGGAGGTGGAGGAAGAGAGGGAGGAGGAGGACGACGAGGAGGACGAGGAGGTGGCCATGCTGGCAGGAGTTCGAGCTGGACGTGCTGGGTCTAAACCAGACCCCGCTGCTCACCGCGTCTCTGGGCGCGGCGCAGGGAGGCCACCCCCGGCGACAGCGTCGTCGCCGCCCGCCGCCGTCGCTGTCGTCGGCGCCGTCGCCGTTGGATTTGTCGGCGCCGCCGCCGTCGTCGTCGGCTTCGTCGGCGCCGTCGCCGGCGCCGGCGCTCATTGGCGGCGGCGGCGGCCGCTGCAGTCGTCGGCGTCTCAGTGGGGGCCGGTCGTCGCCGCCGCCGATGCCGCCGTCCTCGTCTGCACCATGCCTCCCAAAGCTCCAGGCGACGACTGGCAGAGTTCGACGGCAGCCAAGGTGCTGCACGCAGGGCCCCTCCGGGCTCCAGTGGGGCGCGGGTGTCCGGGCCGGTCATGTTGCTCCAGGCGACGACTGGCAGAGTTCGGCGGCAGCCAAGGTGCTGAACGCAGGGCCCCTCCGGGCTCCAATGGGGCTCGGGTGTCCGGGCCCTTCGTGTTGCTCCAGCCCGGGGAGCTCGGCAGTTGACGAGGCTGGCCTCGGCCAGAGGAGCTTCCTCCCTCCGTGCCTCCATGCCTTCCCTCCTCTCCCCCCTCCGCCTGCATCCACTACAGTCAACGCCCCTTGCGTCCTTGCCTCTGTGGCCCGTCCTTTGCCGTTCTCACTGGTCGCCGCCGCCCAAAAAAAATTACTCCGACGGAAGAACCCCACATAAGAATCCTCTGGGCGAATCTGGAAAAAGCCATCACCGTCGTCCTCGTGGTTGGTGAGGCGTCCTGGCTGCCTCTTCTGCGTATATTTCCTCTCGCCTTGGCGCGGGCCCCCCTTCCACTCCTTACGTTGTCCCCATCCTCGCCCCCCTGTTTGTTCCGCGCCCCGCCACCTCCTCCCCTTCCTGTTGCATGAGCGCGCATGTCGATGTTCCTCGGCGCCGTCGCCGCCACGGCCAGCACAGGCGCGTTCTCTACTGGTCACGTCGCGCAGCCGTTGGGACAACCCCGCGGGCCAGGCTGTCGGGACAACCCCGCGAGCCGTTGGCGCGCAAGACCAAGCCGTTGGGACAACCCCGCGGGCTTCGAGCGAGGCGCAGCCGCGCTCAGGCGGAAGGCAGCACGAAGCCCAGCTCTGCCGCGAGCTGCTTCGCCTCCGCCCTGGACAAAACCGCTCTCTTGTCGAACTCCAGGAGCGCCTTCCGCAGGGACGCCGGCGGCCCGCACTCCAGGAACTCTCGCGGCGGCGGCCGCAGGATCAGCATGTTCCGCATGCACGTGGCGCGGGAGAACATGACGTAGAGGTGCAGCCACCACTGCTCGTCCGACATGCCCGTGCGGCCAGCGTCCTCGTCTCTCGCGCAGTCGATGGTGACGCCCTTGCGCAGCGTCTGGCCCTGCGACAGCGTGGAGGTCAGGTAGGACGCGTGCGTCAGGGTGAACCCCGAGCGGCGCACGCTGTGCGCCCCCGAGCTCTGCCATGTGAACTCCCTTTCGCTGGGCCTGAACATCAGCAAGCTCCGCGCCCGCGCCTCGGCCTGGCCGTCGTCGTCGGCGCCTTCGGCGCCCTGTCGCAGCACCTCGGCGACCTGAGGAGCCCAAAAACTTCCTCGTTGCGTCCAAAATGTGGCCTGGGAGCTGCGTTCTGGCAGCGCGAGAACCCAAAATTGACGACAGTTACAGGTTTTGGATGACCCGCTCGGATTACCAACATGATCTGCGGGCCCCATAGGGAGGGGCTCCCGCCTGAGACTTCCTCACAATTCACTCAGAGACGAGGCTCCCGCCTGAGACTTCCTCCAAATTCAGGCTTGACGAGCCCAAAAGTGACGACAGTTACAAGGTTCCGATGACCCGCTCGGATTACCAACATGATCTGCGGGCCCCATAGGGAGGGGGCTCCCGCCTGAGACTTCCTCGAATTCACTCACAGACGAGGCTCCCGCCTGAGACTTCCTCCAAATTCAGGCTTGAGGAGCCCAAAAGTGACGACAGTTACAGGTTCCGATGACCCGCTCGGATTACCAACATGATCTGCGGGCCCCATAGGGAGGGAGCTCCCGCCTGAGACTTCCTCCCAATTCACTCACAGACGAGGCTCCCGCCTGAGACTTCCTCCATTTTCAGGCCTGGGGAGCTCAAAAGTGACGACAGTTACAGGATCCCGATGACCCGCTCGGATTACCAACATGATCTGCGGGCCCCATAGGGAGGGGGCTCCCGCCTGAGACTTCCTCACAATTCACTCACAAACGAGGCTCCCGCCTGAGACTTCCTCCATTTTCAGGCCTGGGGAGCTCAAAAGTGACGACAGTTACAGGATCCCGATGACCCGCTCGGATTACCAACATGATCTGCGGGCCCCATAGGGAGGGGGCTCCCGCCTGAGACTTCCTCACACTTTACTCAACGATGATGAGGATGAGGATGATGAGTGGTGGTGAAGATGAGTGGTGAAGAGGATGATGATTGATTGTGAGTGGTGGCGGCGATGATGGTGTTTGAATGAGGACGATGCCGATGATGATGATGATGATGATGATGATGATGTTCGTGAGCGTGTGAGAGAGTGCGAGTGATGATTATGAGTCTGTGAGTGACTAAGCATGTGAGAGAGCATCATCGATGATGCTGATGAGGTTGATGATGAGAGAGTGTGAGTGAGTGTGAGTGGGTGTGTGTGTGTGTGTGTTCCTGTTCCTGCGCGGGGTGTCCGGAGAAAACAAGAACCCCACTTTGGATGTGGGGAAAAACAACTTCAGCCTCCAAGGGTCCTGCGTCCTTACCACGCGTCCTTAATATACGTTTTGACTGTACTCCGCCTCCTCAAACCCCCGTATCCTCGATCCTCCAGAGGTTTGGGGGTCGAGGTGCTGGTCGCCTTGGGCCTTCAGCGGGCTCCTGAAGCCTCCCACCATGGGCCCTTCCCCGGGACTTCTGGGCAGCATCCCGTTCCTCCGCTCCCTTCTCCCTCCGCCTCCTCCCCTGTGCGGTCAGGGACGTTTGCTTAGCATGCCGCGCCGCCTGTTCTGGCCCGCCACGCTTCGGCGCGCGGGCGAAGCGCGCCCCCGTCCCCGAGCGTCAACGTTCCGAGCTTCTCCTGGCCCCCCGTCCCAGGAAGCAGGGGGACACCCCATCAGCTTGCGACGCATAGCGTGTCGCAGGGACCGCCCCCGTGTCACGTTAAGCGAAATTCCTCGACGAATGTACGATGACGATTCAGAAATGCCCATGTGGGAGCGCATCGCACAGCAGCGCCCTGGGTGATGCTTCATGGATTGGCTTGCAGGCCTCGTGGTCGCTGCCGCCCTCGTCCTTGTGGCTGTTCGGTCGTCATCGCCAACACCTCCCCCCGCGGCAGAGCAAACTACTGTTTGATCGTTCCCACTTCCGCTTTTTCTTCAGTCGTCTACATACATCACCGACCTCCCTCCTGTCCAGCCGCCGCCCCATCCCCTCCCCCTCCCTCTCCCGGCACCCCTCCCCTGCGACAGGGGCCTCCGCCAGCGTGGCCGCCTGCTGTCGCAAGGGGGGGGTGGGCGGGACGGTCATCGCCGAGCGTGGGGCCTCGCGGGTGTGCCCTCCTGGGTCTTCGGGGCCCCCCGCAACCCCCTGGGCCTCACGGGCGTGCCCCCGAGGGCGGAGGGGGGCGGGGGGAGGAAGGAAGGCTAGTAGATCAGGAGGAAGGGAGCGGACGGGGACGGAAGGGAAAGGGGGGGGCAAGGGGGGGGAAGGTGGAAGCAGCAGGGAAGAGAGGGGGTTCTGGGGTCCCCCGCACGTCGAAGGGCACGCCGAGGCGGAGAAACAGAAGCTGGAAAGCGACCAAGGGCGAGGCCGAGGGCCGAGGCCGAGGAGAGGGATCAGGCCGAGGAGGGGGACGACGGCGAGGAGGGAGTGGAGGAGAAGGACGCGAGGAGAAGCGGGGCGAGGAGGAGGAGGAGGAGGAGGAGGAGGGGCAGGAAGGCGCGGAGATGGGCGGGGCCGCGGCCGCAGCCACTTTTTGTCGAGCGGCACTGCTGCCCCTGCCCTGCCGATTGGCTCGGCGGCGCCCGCGGAGCCCGATGGCCGCCTTGGGCGAGAAGTTCGACGCCTCCGGCGGCTTCAGCGGCAAGGACGATGGCCGCAGCAAGGCTGACCCTCTCTCGGCTCAGCACGGAGAGGTCAAGCATCCGAGGGTCGAGGGTCAAGGCTCGAGAGTGTTCCCCGTGCTTTTGCACTCGCTGTGCCTCCGAGGGAGGCTTCTCGTCGCCACGGCTGGCGACCCCTCGATCTTCTGGCCCGTGGTCGCCCCGACATAGGTCCGCGGGCCCGTCCTCCTCCTCCTCCTCCTTCTCCTCCTCCTCCTCCTCCTCCTCCTCCTCCTCCTCCTCCTCCTCCTCCTCCTCCTCCTCCTCCTCCTCCTCCTCCTCCTCCTCCTCCTCCTCCTCCTCCTCCTCCTCCTCCTCCTCCTCCTCCTCCTTCCTCCCCCTCCTCCTCCTCCTGCTGCTCCTCCTCCTCCTCCTCCTCCTCCTCCTCCTCCTCCTCGCCACATTCTCTCCTTTGTCGTCGCGGTTATCGGTCCGTGGTGTTCTAGCGCCTAATTGCGACTGCAGTTGTTGCAGTGGCTTTCGAAGGTGTTCGAGGGCCGTGGGAGCCTCAGCCGCTTCAGCTCGGCGAGAGCTCCAAATCGGCGGTCCGAATGCCATGGCTAACCTGTGAGGAGGAGGAGGAGGAGGAGGAGGAGGAGGAGGAGGAGGAGCAAGGAGGAGGAGCGAGGGAGCGAGGGAAGGAGGGAGGGAGGGAGGAGGACGAGGACGAAGACGAGGACGAGGACAAGGAGAAGGAGGACTCCGAGGATAAGGCCGAGGAGACGAAGGAGCACGAGGATGAGGAGGAGTCAGAAGGCAGGCGGCCTAGGAGAGAGCAGGGGGAGGGGGTCGAGGAGCAGCAGCAGGGGATTCCAGGTCTTGGAATGCGTTTCGCATTAGGACAAGAGGGACGGCTGGAGGGGGACGAACGTCGTCCTAGCTGCGGGTGCACAGGAGGAGGCGGAGGAGTAGGAGGAGGTGCCATCAGTCTTTTAGCAGGAGGTATGTGAGTGATGGTGAGTAGGAGGGGGAGGCGGAGGACAACGACAAGGACGAAGACGATGGCTACGAGGAGTATGAGGAAGACTGGGTCCTAGATGAGTTGGGGAGGACGACTACCTTTTGGGAGGCTCGCAGGGGCCACTTTGAGTGCATTTGGGAGGGCACGGGTCTTCCTTCTTGTTCGTTTCCTCCTCCTCTCTCCTATGTCATCCCCTTTCTCCCCTCCTTGGAGGACAATTGGGACGATGGAGCATGGTTGGATGTGAACTTGCAGATGTCAGTACTAGTGTATGCCACTCTCGTTTGCTCTTCCGTCGCCCATCCTCTCGCCTGCCAAATCCCTCGGGCATTCCCGCGTCTCCCTCAGGCTCCGGGAAATCTGTTCGGACCCAAAAAAATTCACGACGGGCGCAGACGGCCCCAAGGGGCCCCGAAGACGGGCCAGATGGGTGTCGAGTCGCCGACAGATCTCTCCAAGACGCCTGAGATGGCGCCAAGACGGCCCACGAGGCCTCAAGACGCCCTGTGAGGCCTCCAGGAGGCCTCCCAAGAGAACCCCAAGAGGCAACAATCCTTGATGCCCGTTGGTTTGGGAAGGATTTGGGCGTTCTCGCTTTTTCAGTTGTCCAGGCCCCCAAGACCACCCCAAGACGGTCCAAGAAGCGTCTAAGAGGGCCCCGAGACGGCCCCAGAGGCCTCTAAGAGGGCCCCAACACGCCCCAAGAGGCGCCCAAGACAGCCCCAGAAGAAGGCCTAAGAGAGGGAACACGAGTCGAAAGTCCGAGCCTTCCGCCCAGGAGCCCCCTAGAGGCCCCCCAGAGCCCCCAGAGCCTCTAAGAAGCCCCCAGGAGCCCCTTAGAGGCGCCCCTTAGAGGCGCCCAAGAGGCCCCCAAGAGGCCCTACGAATGCCCCATGAGGCCCCCAAGAGGCCCATTAGAGCCCCCAAAGAGGCCCCAAAGCGGCCCCCAAGAGACTTCAAACCTGCCTCCAAGATGGCCCCAAGAGGCTTCCAACGAGACTCTAACGAACATCCGATAGGCTTCATACCCATAACCCTGGCACGGTGGCGGAAGGGGCCGAATGCCATTGGATATCGAAGACGCCGAATCACCGCCGGCCCCTGCCTTTTGGAATCGCCCATGTGGCCGAGCGTTGTGGCAAGAGCTCTGCCAAGACCATGTGTTCCCCCAGCCGTTGTAGAAACCCTTCGAGAAGCACCTGGGGGAGGATGGCGGGGGACATCAGGAGGAGGATGAGGGGGCGTCTTGGGAGCCTGTGGGGCCACTCTTGGGGCCTACTGGGGGGTTCCTGGGAGCACCTTGCTGGCATCTTGGGGGCCTTCTTGGGCCTCTTGGGGGCCTTGGGGGCGTCTCGAGACCTTGTTGGCAGTCTTACTGCATTCCTGGCCCGCCTGACGCCGTCGTAAGCCGCCTTGTGGGCCTCTTTGGGCCGACTTGGGACCCTCTTGGGGTGCTCCAGGGCCGTCTCGGAGGCCACCTTGGGCGTCTTGGATGCCTTTTGGGCCGCCTCGGGGCCCTCTTTGGGCCGCCTTGGGGGCCTCTTGGACCGTCTTGGGGCCATCCTGGAGGCCTCTTGGGCGATCTTGGGGCGATCTTTGGGGGCTGTCGGGCCGTCTCGGGCCGTCGGAAGGCCGAACAGAAGCAAATGCAAAAATGCTTTACAAACTAAAGGAGCATCAATGATTTGGCCCTCTTCTGGCCTTCCTGGAGGCTCTCTTGTAGGCCTCATGGGCCGTCTCTGAGACGTCTTGGGGGCCTCTTGAGCCGTCTTGGGCCATCTTGGAGCCATCTTTGGGCCGTTTCGGGCTGTCTTAAAGGCCTCCTGGCCCGTCTGATGCCTTCGGAAGCCGTCTTGGGGCCCTCTCTGGGTCGACTTGGGGACCCCTTGGGGTGCTCCAGGGCCGTCGCGGAGGCCATCTTGGGCGTTTTCGAAGCCTCTTGGACCGTCTCGGGGGCCTCTTGTGGCAGTATTGGGGGCCTTTTGGGCCGTTCTGGAGCCATCTTGAAGGCCTCGTGGGCGATCGTTGGGGGCACTTGGGCCGTCTCGGGTCGTCGAACAGCCGAACAGAAGCAACTGCAACAATCCTTCACAAACCAACGTCACACCAACGATTTGGCCCTCTTCGGGCCTTCCTGGAGGACCTCTTGGCGGCTTCTTGGGCCGTCTTGTACGCCTCTTGCGGGCCTCTTGGGCCGTCTTCGGCATGATTGAGGCCACCTTGGGCCGTCCTGGAAGCTTCTTTGGCGGACTTCGAGGCATCTTGGGCCGTATTGGAGACCATCTTGGACCATTCTGGGCGAACTTGGAAGCCATCTTGGCCCTCTTGTAGGCCATCTTGGACCGCATTCGGGGATTGTTTTCCAGATGTTGAGGTTGTTTCTGGTCCCTTCCGGGTGGCTGGCGGGACGGGCCGAAGCCCCAGGGGAGTTCTGTTGGGAAAAGAACCCAAACCAAACGAGTAGTATCTAGCATGCCGGGCACCCCTATGGCAAGACCACAGGGGGCGGCGGATCTAGTGGCCTTCGGCATTTCCCGACACCGCGCGTGGGTTATGGGTCAGAGGCCTCATGGATGTTCGTTTGGATATCGTGAGAGGCCTCTCGTGGGCCTCTTGAAGTCAGTTTCGAGGCATCGTGGGAACCGTTTGGAGGCCTCTTGGAGTTTCTTTTTGAGCCTCTTGGGAGCCTCGTGGGGCCTCTGGGAGGGCCTCTTGGGCTCTCTTGAGGGCCTCTTCGGACCTCCTGGGGGCCTCTTGGGGCGGAAGGCTCGCATTGTCGGTTCGCGTTTCCCCTCTTGGGGCGATTTTGGACGCCTCTTGGGCCGTTTTGGTGCGCTCTTGGACCGTCTTAACCCCCTTTGAGAGCCTCGTGGGCCGTCTTGGGGCGGTATTCTGGACCTCGGGGGCCATCTTAGAGCATCGGAAGCCCGAAATCGCGAGAACGCGAAATGCATCGAAAAACAAAAGGAACATCTATGATGTTTGCATGTTTGGGCCCTCGTGGGAGTCCTCTTGGGGAGATCTGGGGGGAGATTTGGGGGGCCTCTTGGGCCGTCTTGGGGCCAGATTGGGCGTCTTGGAGCGCTCTGGGCTGTCTTTGAGGCCTCTGGGACCCTCTTGGGCGCTTTCTGGGGCCCTCTTGGCCCGTCTTGGGGCCCTCTGGCTTCTGGAAGGTCACGCGGGGCAATCCAAGAACGCGCGGGAACGGCTGGGAAATGTGGGTAGTTGGGGCACCAGCCCTTAGAACACTATATTCCCAGTGTCATGAATACAGAGAACAGATTTGGATGCAGAAGTGCCCTGATGTGGATTCGCGAGCCTTCGTGAGCTCCCTGGGATGGCAGGCCAGCGAAGAAGAGTGACAGCGTTGGATAAGGATTCCCAGGGCCACACTGCGTCAAAGCGAGAACGAAAACAATGGAGCATCGCGTTGACATCGGTATGACAACGACGATGACGAAGATGACACTAACAATCTCGAGCGCACCATGCGGAGCGATTGCGCTGTGAGTGGGTCCAAGTTGGAGCGATATCCGGGCAATTTTGTTGCGGGAAGGTGTAATTATGACACCGTTACATATACATACATACATACAGACAGACAGACCGACAGACCTACATACATGCATACATACATACATACATGCATGCATGCATGCATGCATACATCATACATACATACATACATACATACATACAGACATACGTACATACATACATGCATACATGCATGCATACATATGTGCTGCTACGGTGTACGAGCCATCGGATTCGGACCGCTCCCTGGCAAAAAATCTGTGATTAAGATCATGCGGGGGATCGGGGGTGTCCACAGCTTGACGTCTTATGGTCAAAGTCTTAGCACACCCCGTGCAAAGTATGTATTGAGCGCGCCCGTTGTGTTACTAGGGGGATCGGGTTTAGAGCTGATTTCATTGCCCTGTAACTCCCTTCCCCTTAATTCTTCCCTTCCCGTTAACTATCCCCGTTAATTGTTTATCAGTTTTATTTGTCTTGTCTTCCCGTTCATTGTCTTGTCTTCCCGTTAATTGTTTTGTCATGTATTCCCGTTAATTGGTTCGTGTCCCCGTTAATTGTCTTATATCCCCTTTATTTGTTACTTTTCGACTCCAAGGCCCCAATGGGTGCGTCCGAATACAGGAGGAGACGGAGTAGGAGGAGGAGGAGGAGGAGAATCTCCGCATTCGCCCTCCATCTCCGGGTTCTGGGAGATCCCGGGAAGTCCCGAATTAACGGGAATTACCGTCCAGGCATTAGAGGGAAAAGTTTCCCGGGAGGTGGGGCCCCAGGAAGTGGGAGCTTTCCCGGTAATTCGTTGTGATTGTTTTAATCCGTATAATTATAGGAAAATTATCGGGAAGAGTTCCCGGGAGGTGGGGCCCCGGGAGGTCCCCAGGAGGTCCGTTAATTCTGGACGGTAATCCCCGAACATTTGGACGGTAATCCCCAGCAATGAAAAACATGTGGGGCGAGGGGTGGGGGAGCTCGGGTTGCTCTCCTGCAGTTGCGCCTCGCCGAGAGCCTCCTCCCGTGCCTCCTCCTGTGCCTCCTTCCGTGGCTCCCCAGGGCTCCTGTAGGCCTTTGAGGTCCATGGGTGCGGTTTTCCTGCAGCTTCACCCTCTGCGTGTAATATAGGAATATAGGCTAACCATGTAAGACCGAGTATGACTGACGCCCATAATCAGTAGTTGGAGCAGGCGGGAATTAATTATGGGGAAATCGTAGGGAATTAGAGGGAAAATAAAGGGAAATGATTGGAATGTGGGAGTTATATGGAAATTATACGGAATTATAGGGAAGCTCAAACAGGGAATTATTGGTGACTCAAAACCCGATCCCCCCTCTAGTAACACAGCGGGCGCGCTCAAATTATGTATGCGAACGACATATCGACCTGTAGATGCGTCTGCGCTTCAATTCCGCACAGGATGTTCCCAGTCGCGCCTCTAATAAAGCCAGGTGCGCTGGTGTGGTTTCAAGTGGTGGCTATACCCATACAGTTTTGTTCAAAACAAACCAGCTTCCATATCAGAGCCTGAGGTTCTTTCGTATCTAACTATATGTACATACCTATACATGTGTATATATATATACATTTACGAATATCACAGTATCGAGATCCGAATAGACGGCAGAGATGCTATTAGAGTGGTATGCTCGATGGTTACCCGTGTTTGTGTCATGTTGTGTTGTCTGTTATTGTTGCCGTTGTGTTTTCCCTACGGTTCCTCTAGATTTGTCAGGCCTAGATTGATTAGTACGACCACGAGTCAAGAGCACGAGACTTGCAGAGGCGGTGCTCCAAGGCAGAAGTTGCCTTGATATTATGTCAGGTGTATGCGGTGTGGCAACATCGTTCCCCCTGCCACCCATGCTCCCGTTCCCTGCCCCTCCTCCTTCCCATCCCTGCTCGGTGACGCCCTGCTTCACGCGAGAGCGGGCAGGTGCACATCCGCATGCAGCAGCGTAACGGCCGAAAGTCGTGGACGACGGTCCAGGGCTTCCCGGAGCAGGCGCGCCTTGGGCCAGAAGGAGGAGGCCTCCTTCCAGGCTGTCCCCCCATTCCCTTCTCGTCCTCTGCCAGCGGCCGGTGGGCGGGCATCCGATGTCACTTCCTTCGCTGGGTGCGTGCCCCCCTCCAGGCCCTCCCTCCGGGCCCTCTGCCTCGGCCGTTGTTCCACCCATTGGGATACGACCCGTGCCAGACTGGGCGCGGGCCCGCGGGCGAGCCCTCCCAGGGGGGCCGCAGGTGTAAGTAGCTCCGCTCTGGGGCCGCCCGCGATCCGGGTGACGGGGCGCGCGCCAAACTGACCTTCCACCTGGGGCTGGAGGTGGAGCGCCTTGAAAGGGGGGGGGGGGGGGGCGATCCGCGTGAGGGGTGTGCCGAAGTAATCTGGGGCAAGGAGGGGGAAGGGAGGGGAAGAAGGGGAGGAGGAGGAGGGGACGAGGGGAAACGTGAGGAGGGAGGACGGGGGGAGGAGGGAAACGCGAGGAGGAGAAGGAGGAGGACGGAGGGGGAGAAGGGGGGAGAAGGAGTAGGAGGAGGACCAGTGTAATCACAAGGCGCATGATCGATATTGCGATCAACCCTCCTTCCAAAGTTCCTTTTTTCAGAGGTCCCCACAAGAATTTATTGTCACTGCTGGAGATGCCCCAGTGGAAGGCAGCCGTCTGCGAAACCTCCATCGCGCCAAGAAACCAATCCTTGGACCTTGACGCCGCGAGTCAACTTTACTGTTGCGCCCTGACAACCCTACATCGTGCCAGGGCACCGCTTCTGGGACGTCAGCCAGGAACATCCGTGACATGGGTGTCACGACGAGTGTACGCCGAGCTAAGGCGAGAGCCACAGTTTGAAAACAACCCGCCCTCCATCCGTGAATATCTTGCGCTGCGAAGTGCTTCTTGGTTAAAAAACTACTGCGCGTGGCGCGACACATCTTGCAAACGACCCGCCCTCCATGCGTGAAGCTCTTACAAACGCTGATGACGAATGTGCTCGGCGCGAATGCGAGAGCCATGCTTTGAAACCTACCCGCCCTTCATATGGGAAGTCCCTGCAAACTGAACAAATGTGCGCGGCGCGAAGGCGAGAGCCACATTCTATAATCCGCCCGCCCTCCATCCATAACGCCATAACAACATCTTCTGACGAACGTGCGCGGAGCGCAGGCGAGAGTCGCATGTTGAAAGCAACCCGCCTTTCACCCGTCAAACTCCTCCAAAAGTAAGAGACGAGTGTGCGCGGCGCAAATGCGAAGGCCGCATCCTGAAAACGACTCGCCCACCATCGGTGAAACTGTTGCCAACGTTCAAGACGCATGTGCGCGGCGCGAGGGCCAGCGCCACATGTGCATAACGGCACGCCCTCCGTCCGCGAAGGCCCTGCAAACGTTGCAGACAGATGTGCGCGGCGCGAAGGCGAGAGCCACATTCTAAAATCCACCCGCCCCCCATCCGTATGTGGTTTTGCAAGCGTTGGAGACGAAAGTGCGCGGCACTAAGGCGATAGCCTCAATTTGAAAACGGCCCGCCCTCCATGCGTGAAGCTCTTCGCGCGATGCGAAGGCGAGAGCCACGTTTTGAAACCACCCGCCCTCCGTCTGTGAAACTCTCGCAGACTTTAAAACGAATGTGCGGGGCGCGATGGCGAGAGTCTCATGTCGAATACCACCCGCCATCTATCCGTGAAACGGTTGCAATTCTTCTAAGTTTCAGCATAATAAGTGGTGGCGAAGTCTGAGGCGAAACGCTTGGCCCGCCCTACCGACACGTCCCGGGATGCATCAGGGAGAAGTTGTTTGAAAGGAACGGAGGAGGAGAAGGAGGAAGAGGAAGATTAGGAGGAGGAGGAGGAGGAGGAGGAGGGTGAGAGGAAGGGGACAGGGGAGGAGGGGGAGAAGGGGAGGCGGGCAAGAGGACTAAGTGGGAGAACAGGAGGAGGAGGAGGAGGAGGAGGAGGAGGAGGAGGAGGAGGGAGGAGAGGGAGGAAGAGGAGGAGGAAAAGGGGGAAAGGAGACGCGTAGCGAAGGGGAAAGAAAACGAGGACCGGGCAACACACGAGGGCCGGAGAACACGAATGTTCAGATGCGCTGCGGCGTGCTCCATGCCTCTGTCGGAGCTCAGGGCAGCTTGAAGGTGTATGAGGGTCATCAACCGAAGCGATGGTCGGGCGTTGCTGGTCCGTTCGGTGCCCTGTTTCGTTCAGTGCGGCGTTGAACCGGGCGATGCCCGATTTTGCCACGGTGCGCGATGAGCGCGGGATCGACATCTCCCTCGGATTCATCAGTCCTAACCTTCTCAAGGACCTCCTCCGTCGGCAGGTTGCGCGCTTATTCGGACTCTCGATTGCCAACATGTTGGGGATGGGATGAGAGCGGGCATGTTCCGACTTTGTCAAGCAGCAAGCCAAAAGCAATAACTACACCCCTCTGCAGCGCGGCACCATCCGTTACATGGTCTGTGATGGTGCCTGGACTCCCGACCGTGTTGCGCAGCTGGGATATCAGGTTCCTGGCGGGAAGCTGTTCTGTTCACAATTTGGGAGGACGAGGGACACGCAGTTTCATGGGTCATGATTGTGTGAGTCGCGCAAGGGGGAGGGAGGAATTTGTCAAGGCCTCAGCTTTAGCCGAAGCACTAGGAGAGCTGTCCGATAGTGATTGTATCCATTTCTCTCGAGGCCTTTTTGAACATCGCGAGGCGTTCTGGTCTCGGGTGCTGTCGCCTGGAGGGATTGGAATCAGATCGACCTGGTCTTTATCGATGGCTCGTGTTTCACCCACCTGATTGCCAGCCTGTCCCGCGTAAGATGGGGAGTTGCCCGTGTACAGGTGGACGGCGACTTCTTTTGCTCGGTGCACGGTCCTGCGCACGCTAGATTGCGCCTGCTTGTTAGCTTTCTGCGTTGGGATGTCGTGTTTGCAATCGAGAGTTCCGAAGCATACGCAGATTGTCTGGCGACGGTGGAACGTCCACCTGCCATCATCAGAGATGTTATCCTTCAAGCGTGAGTATTATGGAGTGTTCATGTCTGTCAGCAGTGGCAAGTTTCTCTCAAATGGACACGTGATACAGGCTCCACTTGACGCGGAGGAGGAAGGGCTAGAGACAGGCGAACGCTTCCGCAGGCGAGGTGATCCCTGGCCGGTGTTGCTGCGCGCGTTGGTGCCACGGTGCCGAGGCCCATCCTCAACCGTCGCAGCAGGAGAAAGAGAGACACCGTTGCCCGTTTGGTTTCGGTGCGTAAGGCTGCGTGCAGGCTCGCGGCGAACCTCCGTCGGTTGTAGCCCAGGTTCGACTTGGAAGTGGGCCCATTTGCGTGTCCTCCCCGCGCCCCATAGATGGCCCCGTGGGGCCCCCTGTCTCCCACCAACGGGAAAAGTTTGACCAGATGTGGAGGTGCGTTGTGCGTTTGAGAGGCTGCCGCTCGGATTTCGAGCCTCCAGGCGGCAGTTGTGCAGGCGCAGGAGGGGTCGATTTTGTTAAGGCAGTTAGGCTCCAGCATCGTGTCCCCAGTGTTCAGTTAGTCATGCGCTTACGCTGTAGCCATCGTGTGCACGCACCAGTGTACATACGTCTGGGATACGTTCGCTGTCCACCCAGTGTTGTGGAAGGCTGCCCAGGTATTCCAAGAAGGATATTAGCAAGTTGCTTGCGGGGTGTTCACCCACGGACGGATCTGTCTGTGGATTAGAATGTTTTCGCTTCTCTGCCGATCGCCAGCGGTGGACCATCCGAGCTGGATGGTACGGTTCCTGGCGTCGCTCTGGAGCGTCCGCGTGCCCAGCCCAGCCTTGAGGAGAGTCGCGGAGCACAGCACGTCGAGAACTCAGACGACTCTGACTGACACGGAGTCGTTTTCCCCTTGCGGTCCTCGCCCTTCCGCTTGTGGCCCATGCATATATATATATATGTGTATATATACATATTTATACACATATATGTACATATATACATTTATACATATATGTGTGAACAGCGTCGCGCCGATGTGTCCCCCCCCCTCCGGAAGGTGCGCCTCCCCAAGACCGGCAGGGTGCTGCCCGTGCACTTCGAGAAGATCCTGCAGCACCTGAAGAAGACCTTCAAGACCAACGGCACGCTGATCAAGGACGAGGAGCACGGCACCATCCCGGGAGGCCCCCTCCGCACGCCTCGGCAGGTGCGCGCCGCCTCGGCGAGGGGGCGGCGCCGCAGCGGGCATGCGAGGTCGAGCGTCAGGAGGAGAACAAACATACAGACGATGAAATCGTCGATCCCAAGGAAAATATGGGGAAACACGGGCAGTGGGGGGGGGGGAAGGCAAAAACCCAGAAAATATGAGAAAAGATAGGGAATCCTGCTGTTTGTGTGTGTGTATTTATTTGTGTGTCCCAGTGCCCCTTCATTCAGGCAGGGCCCGCGTGGGGCCCTTTTGGGGAGCCCTGCGAGAAAGACGGGGTCGGCGCAGCCTCCGTGGGCCACCGACCGCCAGGGCCGTTCGAGACCGAACGGTTCCAAAAGAATTCGCCAAATCGCACAAACAGAACCTGTCGGAGTTCCGCGCGGATTTTTCAGATTTGCGTTCAGTTGGGTGTTTTTTATACGAGGAATCTTCGAAAGTAGTCAAAAAATAATAGGTGGACTATTTTTCTACTATTGCCGAACATGTTTGAGCATCTTCTGACTTGTTTAGACTTGTCATCCAATATCCGCCTGTAGGGGGACATGCCCGACCTAAGATTCGCGCTGGGCCCCCCTGGCGGCGCCGCCGTGGCGCGCTCCGGGGCGCCAGTGAGGGGTGGGTCCAGCGCGGATCCAAGAAATCCGCACGGAGCTCGGATTGTGTATGTGTATGCCGTGGTTTGTTCATCGGGGCTCAGGCGGCGCAGACCAGTCGCAAACAGGGGGAGCCGGGAGCTGGTTGTGGGTGTCAGAGATCAAGGAGGTTGCCGTAGCAGGGTGGACTTCTCCAACACATCCACCCATCAAAGTCGGGCATCAAAGAAAATACGGGCGTCGTTCGGCCCGCTCCGACGCTCGCGGGCTGATCTGGCTCGAGACACGCCACAGGAAGATACGGTCCAGCGTTCAGGTCGTGATGTTTCACGACGTCGTGGTCCTCTCTCACTACTGAGAATATTTGGGCAGGGGGCGTTCGTGCTTCGATGTGTCGAAGCTCTTTACGTCCTACTCCACCTCCTCCTCATCCTCCTTCCCTTCCTCATCTGTCGCCCTCGTCCTCGTCCTCCTCGTTGCCCTGCTCCTCGTCTTCCTCCTTCTGTTCCCTTATCCTCTTCCGCCTCCATCCTCTTCCCTCTCGCTTCACCCCGCCCCCACAGCCCTCTCCATCTCAGGACGGCGGAGGGGGTGAGGCCAGGAAGGGGGAACAGGAGGTCGCTTGGAGATCGCTTGACCACTTCTGCCGTGTTGCCCCCGTCCTCCTCATCCTCCGCCAGCCTATCCGTAGTCCTTCTCAACACATGTTCCCGCTCCCTGCCTTGTAGTCCTTCAGCCCACCTGAGCGGACCCGTCCCTCTTCCCCGTCATATATGCAGCGCGACAACGTCCACGTGCTCTCCTCTATCAGAGTGAGGGGCCGAACGGTCATTCATTGTCCCTGGGTGCGTGGCTGAATAAGGAACTCGTGGTGGGAATTCTGCTTGTTGCGTTGTTGTTGTTGTTGTTGTTGTTGTTGTTGTTGTTGTTGTTGTTGTTGTTTGTAACAACAACAACAACAACAACAACAACCGTTCCCGCCTAAGACTTCCTCACAATTTAGCCGGGACCCCCGCTCCCGCGCGAGACTTCCTCGCATGTTATTCAGGAATCGCGCTCTCGCCTGGGATTTCCTTACAATTTATTCAGGAATCGCTCTCCCGGCGCTCTGGGGTCGCGCTCTCGCTGGAGACGCGCTTGCAATTTACTGAAGAATAGCGCCCTTGCGTTGGAATTTCTTGGAATTTGCTCAAGCGCCGCGCTCCCGACACCCAGGCGCCCAGGAGTCGCGCCCGTTGTGGCCCCATGTGCATGCCCTTCGTGGCCCCGCTGTCGCCGTTTGTGGCCCCCTCACGGTCCTACGTGGCCCAGTTGCTACCGTCAGTGGCCCCATCGTTGCCTTCTGTGGCCCCGCATTATCTGCCCTTCGTGGCCCCCGCTCGTTCGCGCTCTTCGTGGCCCCATACGCATTCCCTTCGTGTCCCTGCTGTCGCCCTTCGTGCCCTACTTCGTGTGTTTCGTGGCCCTGCTGTCGTTCTCTCTCGCTCTCGCTTTCGCTCGTCGTCGCCGTCGTCGTTGTCGTCGCCGTCGTCGTCGTCGTCGTCGTGGTCGGTCCCTTGTCCATCCCTCTTGGGGTCGGGTCGACGGTCCGCGGCCGCCCCGCCGATAAGCGCTACCGCTGGCCAGGCCGACTGTCCGCGGCCGCCCCGCCGTTTGCCTGGGCCCGGCCTGCAGGGAAGAAAGGTACATTCCCGAAAAAGGGTTCGATCGAAGACGAAGAGGGCGGGTATCGAGGGTTTGGGAAATACGCGTTATTGGACACTCGAGCAGATAAGGGCGAACAGTCTTAAAATGATTGTTGTTGTTGCTGGTGTTGTTGTTGCTATTGCTGTTGAGTGTTAGTGACAAAACTATTAGTACCATTATTAGTATAACTAGAATTATTATTATTATGATTATTATTATTAGTATTATTATTATTACTACTATTATCATTATTATTATTATCAATAGGATTAATAATAATTGTGTTACCATTATTATTATGATAATTATTATTTCCATTATTATTAGTATTATTGTTGTTGTTGCTGTTATTATTATTCGTGATAGTATTGTTATTGTCATTATCATTATTCTTATCATCATTATTGAACCCTTTACAGGCGCCCTGGCGCTCTCGCCCCGGCGCCAGCTGCAGTTCCATTGAAAATGAGGTTCGCTCTCAAGCGGTTTTGAGGACCGCCAAAAGCGGCCCCCCAACAACAACAACGCTCCCGTTCGAGACTTCCTTTTTTTTACCCAGGGCCGGTGCTCTTGCTCGCCGCCGAAAACAGCCGCCTCAACAAAACCAGCGCTCCCGCTCGAGACCTCCTCCCGTTGTACTTTGGACAGGCGCGCTACTTTTTCTCTCATCGGCGCCGCCACACTCATTTTTTACTTAAGGCGGTGCTTTTGCTCGCCGCCGACAGCCCCCGTCCCGACAAAACCAGCACTCCCGCCCGAGACTTCCTCCCGTTGTACGCTGGACCGGCGCCCTTTTCTCCTCCCCTTCCTCCTCCTCCTCCACCTCCTCCTCCTTCTCCTCTCTCCTCCCTCTTCCCTCCTCCCTCCTCCCCCCTCCCTCCTCTTCCTCCGTCTTCCTTTCTCCACCCCCTCCTCTTCTCCCTCCTCCCTCCTCCGTCCCTCTTTCCTCCCTCCTTCTCCCTCCCCCCTTCTCCTCCTCCTCCTCCTCCTCCTCCTCCTCCCTCCTCCTCTTCCTCCTCCTCCTCCTCCTTTTCCTCCTCCTCCTCCTCCTCCTCCTCCTCCTCCTCCTCCTCCTCCCACCTTCCCCATCTCTCTTCCTCCCCCTTCCTCCCTCCACCTCCTTCTCTCCTCCCTCCTCCCTCCTCCCTCTCCCGTCCCTTTGTCCTCCCTCCTCAGCCCTCCTCCTCCTCCCCCCTCCTCTCCTTGATTGCCCCCCTTGTCTCCTCCCTCCTCCTTCTTCCCTCCTCCCTTCCCTTTCCCTCCTCCCTCGTCGCTCCCCTTTGATACTTCTTCATTTTTAACTCAAGACTGGGGCCATCGTTTCGGCATCGCCTCTGGGGGGCATCCAAGAGTCCCTGTTGACCCTTCATTATACAATAACTCTCATGTTTGGAGAGCATAGATAATGTGGAGGAGGAGGAGAAGGAGGACGGATGACTTCCAGGGGCTCCAAGGATCGAGGGTCGAAGGATTGACTTCAGGGATTCCTTGCGAGGGTGTGGAGGGGCAGGTGGAGGATGCGAGCACGGGAGCGGCAGCGCCTGGGGGCGTGGACGTTCAGGGTCACGCACCGAGGCCGCCGCATGGTGGCGCAACAGTTCGAACGAAGAGTAGGAGCCACCTCGCCCTCGGAGTGACTGCTACTACAACTACTCCTCATTCCTCCTTTCCTCCTCCTCCTCCTCCATCCTCCTCCTCCTCTCGCTCTTCCTCTCTCTCATATTTCCTCCCCTCCTCGTCCTCTCCCCCCCCCTCCGAGATGCGGGGCGCGCGCAAGGCGATTGCGATGGCGATTGTGCCGCCCGAGCTGTGGATGTAAGAGGTGGCGGCACTATTTTCTTGGGCGGGAGATCTGGGCGAAGGAATATCGGACCCCACACGCCGGACAAATCCCCCTTGATGGGGGCGTGGCATCCAGAAGGATTGTTGTTGCAAGTGTTGTTGTTGTTGTTGTTGTTGTTGTTGTTGTTGTTGTTGTTGTTGTTGTTTGTCGTCGTCGCTCCACCCGCGACCCGCCCGCAACCCGCCCCGCGACCCACCCCGCGACCCACCCCGCGACCCATCCGCGACCCACCCGCGACCCACCCCGCGACCAACCCGCGACCAACCCCGCGACCCACCCCCACGGAAGGAAAGACCACCCGGACCCGACGAATGTCATTTACTAAAACGGCCTTTGGCCTTGACTTAACAGCCCTGCCCTGTTCGATTCATTCCTTGTGTGCGTTTACTAAACGGCTTCGCTCGTCGGGGTGATTTTCATGGGGCTGATTTTGTGCCTTCTACACCCGCGATCCTCCCGCGACCCACCCCACGACCCACCCGCGACACACGTGTGACCTACCCACGTGGGCTTAACGAAAAAGTTGGTGCTTGCGGCGGGCTCTTTGCATAATTTGTAAAAATTCTGGCGCCTGCGACGGGTTTTTCCGGAGTCTCGCAAACTGCCGGCGCCCCCTTCGCCCCCTCACTCTTACCCGCATCCGCGGGGTGCTACGTTATTGATGCTCTGCCGTCGGCGTGGACTGGCAGGAGCGGGGCGCGCCGCACGTCGCGCGCGGGAGCGCGACGCGTCGCTCTCCCCAGGTCCCCGCGCAGGCTCTTTCTGAAGCCTGCGCTCCCGGCAGCGCACGTCTGTCGTGCGACCGGTCGTCGCAGGTTGCGCGCGAGCGCGCAAAACACCGCCCTCCGCGCGCACGTCGCCCGGAGGCGGCGCTCCCGCGTCGGCGCGGCGCGCGGTTTTCCCGCGCCCGTCCCCACGGGAAGTCCCACCTCGCATCGCGAAAGGGCTCGATCGCCGAAGGCGCCGCGCACAGACCGTCTGAGAGGCGTGTTCCTGGCTCGGGGAGACGTATGATGGGCTTGTTTTCCACCACCACCACCACCATAAGTTGGAGGGGGAGGGGGTCCTCCTCCACCTCCTCCTCCTCCTCCTTCTCCTCCTCCTCCTCCTCCTCCTCCTCCTCCTCCTCCTCCTCCTCCTCCTCCTCCTCCTCCTCCTCCCTCCTTCCCCCATCCAACTTGTGGTGGTGGTGGTGGTGGAAAACAGGCCCATCAACGTAAGACTCCACGAGTTCGCCGGAGCGCGGGTTTGCCGACGCTCTTTGACGGTCGTTCTGGATTCTGACGGTCAGGTGTTGCGTGGAATGTGGTTGCAGCGGGAGGTCGTCAGATTTCAACATGGTGTTTCGTCATTGTTCTGACGGCCCCGTCTTGCGTCTCTCCGACCCCCCAGCCCGAGTCTTGCGGCCTCCCCGACCAGCGCGGCCAGAACCCGAGCCCCCCAGAACCCGAGTTTTGCGTCTCTCCGACCAGCGCGGCCAGCGCCTTTCCCTCACCGCGTCGTCGGAAACAGGGCCGCGAGCCAGCGCGCTCGCGAGCGCCTTCCGTTCGTTCGGCGGAAGCGCGAGCCAGCCCTCACACCCAGCAGCGCCAGCACCGGCTCCCAAGTTGTGGCAAGGAGGGTGGGAATCAGCGGGGCCCGCTGACCTGCTCGAGCTGGCCAGCTTGACTCCCTCTCTTCCCTCGTCTTCCGTCCTCCACCACCTCCTCCTCCTCCTCCTCCTCCTCCTCCTCCTCCTCCTCCTCTTCCTCCTCCTCCTCCTCCTCCTCCTCCTCCTCCTCCTCCTCCTCCTCCTCCTCCTCCTCCTCCTCCTCCTCCTCCTCTCTCTTGCTTATGCTGGGTTGGGTGGCGATCTGCCTCCTTCAACCTACTGGGACCAGAAGGCTGCCTGACTGCTTCGGAGGCTTCGGGAGCGGGGGGAAAGAGAGGAAAGAGGGGAAAAGGTGGGAGGACCAGGCTGGCCCGTGCGATGGGGGCCTTCCGCCGTCATCCAGCTGCAGGGCGACATCCGCAAGGAGGTGGCCGAGTTCCTGATCGACGCCACGGCGCTGATCTCCAAGGATCGGCGGGGCGCCAATCGCGGCAGGTGCGCGGCGGCTCGACGCGGCTGCGACGCTGGCGGCGCGGGCGTTACGGCCCGATTGCCTCCGCCGTGCGGAGTCCACACGGAGCATTCGGGCGAGCGCTCTCGTTGTTTTTGAAGCGGAGACCGTTCAAGGCTGAGAATAGTTCTCGGCGGCGAGCGAGGGGGGTAATTGCGAAGGAGAAGGCCTTCTCAGAAGGCGGCGGGACTTCTCGGGAGCCCTCGCACCTTCTGGGGAGATTGCTGTGTCCTCGGGGAAGGCTTAGGAAACTTCCCAGGAGGCCCGTGGGACTCCCGAGCCTTCTGAGGAAGGCCCTCTCCTTCGCACTTCTTCCCCGGGGCTTGCCGCCCAGGCTCCCGATGCGTCCGAGGCGGAAGCCCATGCCGTCAACGCAGGCGCTTGGAGCGTCTGCCGGGGGTCGGTGCACAGCGAGCCGCGGGAGCAGCGACGCAGCCATTCCTCGGGGCTGCCCCTGCGTGCCTGCCTGCTCGGTCTCCCCTTGCCTCCTCGGCCCCTGCCTGCTCGGCCCGTCCTCGCATGCTCGGCAAGGGGCACGGCGCCCTCGGTCTGTACCACCGGTCTCTTGGCCGGCCGCAGAGCATGCGTGCCTGGCCGTGCCAGGCGGGCGCATTCGTCAAAATTCTGCACGAACGAAACGGGTACGGAAAGAATGGGTACAATGCCCAACAGCCGTCCCTGTTCATTTCGAACAGGACTCGCTGTCCGCGACGCCGCGGCCTGTGTCCATTCGAGACAGAAGGCCGCCTGCCCAACAGCGGCCGCTGCTGGTTTGGGACACCATTTGTTGTTGGGCATTGTACCAATGTTTTCCGTGCCCATTTCGGGCGTCCAAATCAATACTGGGCCCAGGATTAGCCTGGTCAGAGTTGGCCAGTGCCACTGTCAGGGGCAACGTCAGGAGGGGACAGGCTCGTGGGGGGGACGCATCGACCCCCAATCGCCCGTTCATCGCTGCTAGGCTGATAGGGGCTTGATAGCCCACCCCGCCCAGGAAGGATGCGGTTTCGCTATCCGGGGCCTATCGGGGATTCATTGACGATGCATCGCCCATTCCAAAGCGATGGTTCACCCCGGAAACGAAAACCCTTGGGGGTTTTGTTTGGGTTCTTGGGGCCTCTTGGGCGTGTTGCGCCGAAGAGGGGCGAACGCGAAAGTTTGCCAACAGCATGTGGACAATCAGTGGTCTTTGCCTCTAGCTGCCCTCTTGGGTCCCTCCGTGGGCGTTCCCGGGCCATCGCAGGCCCTAGCTCGAGGAAAAGCGCCAACAGAGACCGAGGCGCGCGGGTTCGCCACGGGAGAAGGAGGAGGAGAAGGAGGAGGAGGAGGAGGAGGAGGAGGAGGGGGAGGAGGAGGAGGAGGAGGAGGAGGCAGGAGGAGGAGGAGGAGGAGAAGATGAGGAGGAGGCCCCGCGTTTCCGTGCGGAATCGGCGCGCTCCGTTCCCGCGTCGTCGGGGCGGCACTGGCTCTTCCTTCTCTTCGGGGGTCCGCCTCTTCCCCGGTCCGTGTGGACCTGGCGCCCAGGCGCCAGACCCACGGGCCCGTGATCCGTGTTGGCGCGTGCCCGACGACAGTCAACCCTGGAGAAGGAGGAGGAGGAGGAGGAGGAGGAGGAGGAGGAGGAGAAGGAGGAGGAGGAGGAGGAGGAGTAGGAGGAGGAGGAGAAGGGGGAGGAAGAAGAAGAAGAAGAAGAGGAAGAGGAAGAAGAAGACGTGCCAAGGGTATGGTTGCATCCTGGCCTCGTGGGTGATTTTTGTTCGGCGCAGCCTCCACCACTTTTGACGGCCAGCTCCGCTCGACGAGCCTTGGCATGGGCGTCCGAGGCCCCTTGCCGCCTTACCACGCCTCCTCACGAATTGCGTGGGTAGACCGTTACGTTCCCCTCCAGCCCTGCGAGAGGACCAGGTGATGATCCACGGCTCCTAGGCGGTCCTCCGCTCTGGGCCGCCTCGCTCGTGGGCGCAGCCGCGGCTCCGAGCGCGCCTGCCGCTTCGCCTGGCGGGGCCACACCTCGGCTCGGCTCCGCCCCCCAGGGCGCAGGAGCTGCGGGTGAGGATCGGAGCCTCCCCGGGGCCGAAGGTTAGGCAGAAGGATGTGCAGCGACCATCAGTGGCAACGATAGGGGAACGGGCATTGAGAGAACGCCCACGCAGACAGGTCGGCTAAGGAAATCTGCACTGGTTCACACGGCACTGGCATTTGAGCGTGCTGGAGCAGTCCCCAGTCGGATTCGCTAATCGACGTATTTTTGTCTGGATGCATTCGGCTGTTTTTTCACGTCGATTAGCTACCCCGCTGGGATCCACTCGGCATGCGGTGTCGTGTGCACGCTGGGTGCCCCTGGCAGTTTTCACTAAAGGGCCTTTCGCTAAAGGGTGTTCTGTCATCCTTCGAGGGGGGTAGGCTCAGGGGGGAACGCATCGACCCCCAATCGCCAACCGATCGCCGATGGGGGCCCCACAGCCAGCGCCGCCCAGGAGCGTGCTGATTTGCATCGGTGGCCTATCGCCGATCTGTCGGCAAGTTGTCGCCGATTCCAGGTCGATGTTTTCGCAAACTGGAACATATACATTACCAGTGGCGGGCTGTTTTTCAATCCTACGACTTTTTGAGGGTTGGGGACGACGCTGGGGTGGTGTGGTGCATATTTGTTTCCCCGATGCCCCTGGGAAACAGCGAAAAATGTATACACCAGGGTCCCGTATAAACCAGGATCCGCTCTCCAGTGCGAATTTCAATGCAGGGCCAGAAAAAGCGTCGGTGTATGGAGTTCGATTCCCTATGTTTGTCCCCCCGAGCCAGTTCACCCCATCGTTCCCCTTCAGACCACAGCACGGGCGGGCAGTCTCACACCTCTCTGCACAGGCACGCCGCGGGACGGGGCGCGAGCCGCTGTAAGTGTCCTCGCGGGCTTGGGCGTCCCCAGGCAGCTTGGCGTCGGCTTGGAGCTCGACGAAGCGAACTGGCGAGGGCCGCATCGCGCAAACAGTGGAGGCGGAGCAGGAGGCGGGGGGAGGGGGTAGGAAGGATGGAGAAGGATGACTGGCTCGGCGCTCGGGGCTCCGGGCCGTCCCGCACTGGGATGACCTTCTCGCCCTCCTTTCCGAGGTTGTGCACCGTCGCTGGCCTTGAGCCAGGCCGTCCCGCCTCCCCACCCTCCCCTGCTCCTCCTCCTCCTCCTCCTCCCCTCCTCCTCCTCCTCCTCCTCCTCCTCCTCCTCTCCTCCTCCTCCTCCTCCTCCTCCTCCTCCTCCCCTCACCCCCCCTCCCACTCCCCCTCCTCCCCCCCTCCCCCTCCCCTTTTCACCTCCCTCGCTGGCCGAGCCCTCGGAGGGAGTTGTTCGACAATGCCGTGCATGTGTCCCGACTGCGAGCACCGCTCTCAGGCCCTCGTGAGGTCGCAGGTGGTTCGTCGCTCCCCGAAGCCTCTCTCTGATGGCCAGGACGCCCCACAATATGAGCAGATAATGGCCGCCCTCCTCCAACGGATCAATGAGAAGCAGGTCTGACATCCGATGGCATAAGTTTGTTCTCCTTGCCAGGGTGTGGTTCGATCGCCTTCCGACCTCTCCGAGGCGCTGTCTTACAGTGGAAACCCATGCCAAGAACACCCTGATTGCCTCCAGGGTGCTCTGGGTTTCTTGGGGTTCGATGGTGTTGCCACGGAAAGCGTGACGCTCCCGCACCAAAAATCCATCGGCGCCCTGGTGTCTCAGGGTTGGGTTCCTTGCGGGAGGTTTCTTGTGGTCGAGCTCCTATTGTAAGTTCGTTCACCTTGCCAGGGTGAGGCGCTATCGCCTTCGACCTCGCCCGAGCGCCGTCTTATCTTCTCGGGAGGAGGGGGAGGGGGAGGGGGAGGAGGGGGAGGGAATGGAGGGGAGGGGAGGCAGGGAGGAGGAGGAGGAGGAGGAGCAGGAGGAGGAGAAGGCCCAGCAGCGCGGGCCCCCAGAGGGGCAAATACAGGCAAACACATGCAACAAAACGCAGCGCAAGTATCACCCCTTGAGCCTGACCACCCCCCTCATGAGGATGAGGAGGAGGAGGAGGAGGAGGAGGAGGAGGAAGAGGAGGAGGGAGGAGGAGGAGAGGAGGAGGAAGGAGGAGGAGGAAGAGGAGAGGAGGAGGAGGGGGAGGACCTATCCGTCCCGCCTCCCGCGCGGAGCCCCTCGGCAGGCAGAGGCGGGGAGGCGGTGCCCCTGCCCGCGGGCAGACCTCTCGCTGTGGGCCGCTCGCGGCCTGCCCGCCTCGGCGGGCCTCACCCTTGACATGGCCTTTGCCCTGGCTCCCTCGCCCCCCTCCCTCTCTCTCTCTCTCTTTCCCTCCCTCCCTCTCTCTCTCTCTCCTTCTCTCTCTCTTTCTCTCTTCCCCTCCCTCCCTCCCCCTCTCCCTCTCTCTCCCCTTCCCTCCTCCCATCCCTCTCTCTCCCCCCATTCCCTCCATCCCTCCCCCCTTCCCTGCCCCCTCCCCCGTTCCCTCCCCCCCTCCCCACCCATCCCTCCCTCACCCTCTCCCCCCCTTTCCCCCTTCCCTCCCCCTCTCTCTCTCTCTCTCTCTCTTCCTTGCCCCCCTATAACCCCCTGCCTCCCGAAGGGTTGCCAACCGCGGCGACGACGACCGCCACGACAGCGTCGGCGGCAGCGTTGGACCGACGACGAGAACTGACCATTGACCAGCACGGACGACGACGACGACGACAACAACGATTACAGTAGCAGCAGCAGCAGCAGCAGCAGCAGCAGCAGCAGCAACAACATCAACAGACGACCAACGACCGACGACCGGCGACGACGACGACGACCACGACGACGGCAACGACGACGACGAACGGAAAAGGACGACGACGAACGGTGACGACCGACGACGACCGACGATTGACGACTGACGACTGAGGTCACGCGACCGACGACCGACGACCGTCGACGACGGCCGACGGCAGCGACAGCGGCGGCCGGTTGCGGCGGCCGAGCCCGAGGCAAGCGCAGCATCGAGATAGCCCTGCACAGCGTCGACAGAGTCGTCGCGGCCAGCCGCATCCCCCCGTGGAGAGCCCGAGGGAGGGAGGAGCAGAGAATGGAAGGGAGATTGCGGAGGCGGAGTGATGGTGGTCAGGGCGGGGGAGGAGGGAGGAGGGGAGGAGGGAGAGAGGAGGGCAGGGAGGGGGGGAAGGGAAGGAGGTGAGGGAGGGAGGAGAGGAAGGAGGGAGGAGGCGGAAGGAGTGTGGGCAGGGCGGCCCGTCCCTGCCTCTCTCGTCCGATGCGCTGCCGTGCGCCGGGCTTCGGAGCGCGGGGCTGTGTGGTGCGCCACACAGGCGCCGAGGCGCCCAGGGGAGGAGGCGGAGCAGGAGCGCAGCCTCCGCCCTCGGCTCGTCTGGTCCGCCTCCTCTCAGCTTCCGCCCCGCCCTCCTCGCCCCGTAGCCCTTCCCGCTCTGGCAGCCCACGAGTGACAGCGTCGGGGGCAAGAACACACAGACGCGACTACTCGGCGACTCCCTGGAGATGTGGAAGAAGATGGGGAGTCCTGGGATTTGTGTGTATATTTCTTTGCGTGCCCCCTGGGACCCTTCAGAATCGGGATTCTCGAAGCCGACTGGGCAGCGGCGCCTCGACCGTGCAGGCGCCCATGCCTCCCCGGCCCCTCGGCCTGGCTCGGCGGGGGGCGGCTGGACCGGCCAGCGACGCGGACGCCACGCCGCGGGCGAGAGGGCGCCAACGGAGGAAGGGCCCCATCCCTGATGGGAGCTCCCTTTACAACTACACAATATGAATACTACTCTCCCACTTCCCCTGATGGCGTCCGGAAGATGTTCGGCACCCCCCCGCGTACTGTTTTTTTTACACAGAGGATTCCCCAGAGTTGGGTTTTCGCTTGTGTTTTTTTCTAAAATGCTGCTCTCGCTGAGGCGCTGGCCTAATTTTCGGGCTCCCGCTCCTTCCGAATCGTGTTCCCGCTGCAGCGCTGGCCTCATTTCCGCGTTCCCGATCGTTCCGAATCGTGCTCCCGCTGCAGCGCTGGCCCAATTTCTGCGCCTCTCGTTGTTCCAAAACGTGCTCCCGCTGCAGCGCCGACGTTTTCGATCCTTTTTAAGAAGCCCCAAATCTAGAAAATGATCCCCGGCAAAAACATTGGAGGTGATTACACATCCGGTGTCGATTCGTTGATTTTTGGGGCCGCAGAAAGCCCCCCCCCTGAGCCGACTGTCCAGGGAAGCCAGACCATCGAGCCTGGCAGCCCTCCATCCTCTTCTCTGACATCTGTCCTCGCCCGCTGCCGCTTCCCTCGCCGCCGCCGCCGTCGTCGTCTGCGTTTTTGTCGCGATTGGCAACCATTACATACTCAATATGAATGCACCTGCATCGTCGTCTGCGTCTTTGTCGCGATTGGCAATTTCTACCTCTACCATTACTCAATATGAATGCACTTGCACAACTCTGACATCGGACCCACTCTACCATTACCCAATATGAATGCTACTCTCCTTTAACCCCTGCAGAAATTTGAGATCCGGGTGGGGGACGCGCGTAACGGCAGCGGGCAGCTGGCGCGGGTGCCGCTCCGGCGCGGTCGCGTCGTCGTCGTCGTCGTCTTCGTCGCCGGTCGTCCTCATCGTCGTCGTCGTCGTCGTCGCCGCCGTCGTCGTCGTCGTCGTGGTTGTCGTCGTCGTCGTCGTCTTCGTCGTCGTCGTCTTCGTTTTCATCGCGCCGTCGTCCTCCTCCTTTCCCTCTTAGGTAACAGGGTCAGATGCGAAGCCCGATTCGGTGAGAGGACAATGAAGTAGCTCAATGGGAAGGGATGGGAGGGAGGGGTAGGATGTCAGATGTTGACGCGAGCGCACCTAGCTTGCCCCTTCCCCTCCCCCTCCTCCTCCTCCTCCTCCTCCTCCTCCTCCTCCTCCCTCCTCCTCCTCCTCACCCTCCTCCTCCTCCTCCTCCTCCTCCTCCTCCTCCTCCTCCTCATCCTCATCCTCATCCTCATCCTCATCCTCATCCTCATCCTCATCCTCCTCATCATCATTATTCGTCTTGCTTTCTGTTGTGCGCCTGGCGCACATATCAGGTGCCCACGTGCAGCGAGCAGCAGGTAGCATCAAGCAACCCGTATGTCTCTCTCTCTCTCTCTCTATTTCTCTATGTTGTTTTCCCTTTCTCTGTCTCTGTCTCTCCCTCTCTCTCTCTTTCTCGGTGCTCCAAGTGGTGATCCTTGCGAACACGGCGGTGCAGGCCGCCAAAAGGGTTGCCCAAGGAAGTCTGTCGCCATCCACGCGTAGTTCACGCTCTCACTGGTGAGCCTGGCGCGCACGGCGGTGCGGGCCGCCGACAGCGCTGCACCTGTCGCAGGCAGGAGGCAGCACCTCGTACCCAATCCGTCCTGACCACAACGACAGACGGTGCAAGGTGCCACCATGCCGCAAGCGGGAGCCCGCATGGGTTTCCCTATCCGTCCTTCTTCCTGCTCTCACATGTGCGCCTGGGCGCACGGCGGTGCAGACCGCCAGACGTAGGTGCCACTGCCGCGAGCAGGAGGCATAGTCTCGTTGTCCCATCCTTCTTTCTCGTTTGTACCATCCATCGCCTGTTCCCCATCCATCTGTGTTGCCCATCCTTCGTGGTTGTTGCTCCTGGTTGCTCTGCAACTATTGATTCACGGCTTGCTCAGCCAATGTTGTTTTCAGGCAAGCTTGCCCATGTTTTTATCGCATGACATTCTCAGTTCATCATTGGTTATGGTTTAATCCGCTCCCAGTGCAGCCGTCCCAGCGCATTACTTCATCTTTGCTATGTTTGTTATGTATCCTTCTCGTTCTCCCATTATCCCAGGCGTGCGTTATCTGTTCGCACGAGGTATTCACCTCCAGGACACAGCCCGGTGGCAATGCCGGCGGTCCTGCAGCTTCTCACACACTCATCCACCAGAGCCTTCTATACGTGCAATCCACACAGCTCTACATGAGGGCCGGCACGCCCGAAATGCAGCAGCAGTTGTGCACTGCAGCCGTTGTCGCTCAAGCGGAAAACAGATGTTCCCTCCCCTGCTGCCATATTTGGGCCCTTATGCATGGACCCCGCATGTTGGAGTTTTGACCCCGCTGCCACTCTGAACCATAAACGTGTCGGGGCTGTGGCCCCTCATGCGTGGCCAGCTGGAGTGTTGACCCCGCGTAGGTTGCCATGTCCATGCTGGGACCGTGGCCCCTCATATTTGCCATGCTCCTGTTGGGGCTGTGGCCCTTCATGCATTCCCACTCTGAAGTTTGGAGGGCGCCAAACGACGCGCGCCAGGGCTCGAAGCCCTAATTCTGGTGGCTGCTCCACTGATGTCCAGTAACCTGGGGACCTTCCACCCCGAAGGAAGAGCATCGTCTTAGAGTCCTCACCATCATCATCATGAGGGGGGGACAGGCTCAGGGGGTGATACTTGCTCTGCGTTTTGTTGCATGTGTTTGCCTGTATTCGCCCCCTGGGGGCCCGCGCTGCTGGGCCCCGGGACCGCCAAGAAAGACTCCGGGTGAACAGTGTGTCCCGGTTGCGAGAAGATGACGACGTCGGGGGTCTGGGTTAGGTGGTGATACGGATCCGAAGGAGGAAAAGTCCCGTCTCTGAGGGAGGGGGGGTGCTCAGCGGCGAGCTTCGACGTCAGAGGTTTTCGGACACCTTCGTCTGTTCGCAGCGGTTTTCCAGCCTCGGGATGCGGTCCAGCAGCTGCGTCTCGCCGAGAGGCCTCTGGGGGTGTCCGGATCGTCCCGAACGGCCACCAGAGAGCCGATTCATGACCCGGAAGCCAGGGGCAAAAGAGGACGGGGGGACGATAGGCTCAGGGGCGGACGCATCGACACCCCATCGCCTACTCGTCGCCGCTAGGGGCCCGATAGGCTGCCCCCTCCGCAGGAGCCTATCGAGCCCCTAGCGGGCTCGCCGTCGGGGACCTATCGGTAGCCTATCGGCGATCTGTCGGCGATGCATCGCCGATCCCAGGTCGATGCCTCCGCCCCTGAGCGAGCCCCCCGCGCCTCCCCCCCCGCTGGAACGTCCCCCCCTCCGACGAGGAGGCTCGGCAAGGCAGGGCGTGGCGCGCCCCGTCGGGGTGGAGTTGTTGAAAGCCTGCGCGCCCCCTCGCGGTCTGATGTCCCGCAGCGCTCCGTCGCTGCCTGAGCAAGCGCACGAGTGGTCCGCTCCTGCACGCGCGGCGCCGGACAGCAGCCGGCCGCATCGTGCGCGAGGCCACCCGCGGCGCCGCCGGTCTCACGGCGCGCAGCTCCGACGGCGCGCTCTCTTGTTCGCCCGAGCTTTAAACCAATAAGGCCGACTCGCTCGATCGGCTGCAACGCATCGCACGCTTTTGGTTGTTTATCTCTCATTCTTATTTAGTTCAGTACACGCATGAATCTATTATATGTATGTGCACCTGTGTACACACACATACATACATATATACATATATACATATATACATATACATATATACATATATATATATATATATATATATATATATATACCGGCCTGGCCCCCAACCCTCGGCGAGGGTGGCGAGGCTCCTTGGCCAGGCAGGGCAGCACCCACGACGCGCCAGGCGCGGCGCAGCGACCGCGCCCCTGGGCCGAGCGCCTCCGACGCTCGCGGGTAGGGACGCCCTGCTCGTCGGCGTCCTGGTGGGCCCTGACGTGCACGGCCGACTCCGACCCGAGAGGGGGAGGATAGCACATCACGAAGCCAGCGCGCGGCCGCTCGGAGGAGAGCTGCAACGCCTTTGGCAGACTGGTCAGGTCGACCATCCTTTTACAGTTGCTGGACACCTGGGAGGGGCTGGTGGCCTCCACCCCTGTCCTGGCTAAGGCTGCAAACTCACCGCGCAGCGTTGTTGTCTCATAGTTAATGCCACTGTCGTCCATCAGCGCCAGACAGCTGCTTGCCCGGATCAAGTTAGAAATACCGCATTAGAAAGACCTGCCATCAATAAGCAGAGCCCTGCTGAAATCGCCATCGACAGGGGAGGGTTGTGCCACACTTGCTGTTTGGCATGGATCTCTCGAGATCGCTAATATCCCTCTGGTCGAGTTGAAACACGGGCATCGCCAAATCTTTACAGGGCAACGGTCGTCCACGAGCTCGTATCCCGCCTTGACCACTCTGCTGTGTGCCCACAGCAGGTCGCAAGTCAGACGACGATCGCGTGTTTTATGTATGTGTTATGCAATTTCTGGACCTCGGTGCCAATCTCCCAGTGCAGCGTCAAAGGCCGACGACGTGGACACATCGTGAATTCACCGTCTGCCAATGAGGGGGAAAAGGAAGGAGGGGAGGGGGAGGAAGGACATGGAGGGACAAGTGGAAGAAACAGGTTTAGAAGCAGCCAATGCTATGTGGGGCCTGCCAGCGGACCGATCCAGCCTTCCTGTCTGCAGCTGTGATTTGTTAATTCCCAACCATCCTGTGGTGTTGGGTCCCCTCGTTTTGAAGAGACAGCGCCCCTCGTCCTCCCTTCTCTCCTCCCTCCCCTCCTCCCTCCTCCATCAGCATCATCAGCATCATCACCATCATCATCATCATCATCAACAGCATCAGCATCAGCATCAGCATCAGCATCAGCATCATCATCATCATCATCATCATCATCATCATCATCATCATCACCATCATCATCATCAGCAGCATCATCATCATCACCCGTTTCAGTACACCCCTCACACGCTTCGTGGCCCCATAAGGAGCTCCACCACAGGCCCCAATGGGACCGCCCGCATGCGTCACGCACCACCCAGGACAGCGCTTCGTGGCCCCATAAGGAGCTCCACCGAAGGTCCCAATGCCACCGCCCGCATGCGTCACGCACCACCCAGTACAGCGCTTCGTGGCCCTTTAGGGATCTCCACCGAAGGCCCCACTGGGACCGCCCGCATGCGTCACGCACCACCCAGTACAGCGCTTCGTGGCCCCACATGGAGCTCCACCGAAGGTCCCAATGGGACCGCCCGCATGCGTCACGCAGCACCCAGTACAGCGCTTCGTGGCCTCATAAGGAGCTCCACCGACGGCCCCAGTGCCACTAACCACGTGCGTCACGCACCACCCAGTACAGCGCTTCGTGGCCCCACATGGAGCTCCACCGACGGCCCCAGTGGGACCGCCCGCATGCGTCACGCACCACCCCGTACAGCGCTGCGTGCACCCATAGGGAGCTCCACCGACGGCCCAAGTGCGACCGCCCGCATGCGTCACGCACCACCCCAGTACAGCGTTTCGTGGCCCCACATGGGGCTCCACTGACGGCCCCAATGCCACCGCCCGCATGCGTCACGCACCACCCAGCACAGCGCTTCGTGGCCCCATAAGGGGGCTCCACAGACGGCCCAGGTGCCACGAACCACATGCGTCACGCACCACCACCCAGTACAGCGTTTCGTAGCCCTACAGGGAGCTCCACCGAAGGTTCCAGTGGGACCGCCCGCATGCGTCACGCGCCACCCAGCACAGCGTTTCGCGACCCATAGGGAGCTCCTCTGAGTCACGCACCACCCAGTACAGCGTTTCGTGGCCCCATAAGAGGCTCCACCGAAGGCCCCAATGCCACCGCCCGCATGCGTCACGCACCACCCAGCACAGCGCTCCGTGGCCCCATCGGGAGCTCCACAGACGGCCCAAGTGCGACCGCCCGCATGCGCCCCGCACACCCAGTACAGCGCTTCGTGGCCCCATAAGGAGCTCCACCGAAGGTCCCAGTGGGACCGCCCGCATGCGTCCTGCACACCCAGTACAGCGTTCCGCGGCCCCACACGGAGCTCCTCTGACGGCCCCAATGCCACCGCCCGCATGCGTCCCGCACACCCAGTACAGCGCTTCGTGGCCCCGTCGGGAGCCCCACCGAAGGTCCCAGTGGGAACCCCGCATGCGTCCCGCACACCCAGTACAGCGCTTTGGCCCCATAGGGAGGTCCACCGAAGGCCCCAGTGGCAAAGTCCGCGTGCGTCTCCCCCACCCAGCACAACGTTTCGTGGCCCATAGGGAGACCCACCGAAGGCCCCAATGGCAAAGTCCGCATGCGCCTCCCCCACCCAGCACAACGTTTCGCGGCCCATAGGGAGCTCCACCGAAGGCCCCAGTGGCAGAGTCCGCGTGCGTCCCCCCCCACCCAGCATTACGTTTCGTGGCCCATAGGGAGCTCCACCGAAGGCCCCAGTGGCAAAGTCCGCATGCGTCTCCCCCGCCCAGTGCAGCGTTTCGAAGCCCATAGGGAGCTCCACCGAAGGCCCCAGTGGCAAACTTCGCATGCGTTCCCCTCACCGGGTGCAGCGCTTCGTGGCCCCATAGGGAGCTCCACCGAATACGGTACCCATAATTGCGGTATTCACAACTACATATGGTTAGGTCCTTCGCCCGGCTATTGTTTGGTTGCGCTGAGCGCGGGCGCCGCAACAGAGCGGTACCTTGTGAGAGCCAGCGTGGTCTTCTTGGTGGGGGGGGGGGTCGGCATGTGGCAATGGATGCGTGCTTGCGATACTCGCGAGCCCTGTCTCGAATGAGCGCCAAATTGCTTGCATTTTGGTGACACAGTGCGCAGCCATTCTTCGAATTTCAGACATAACTAGCTTGGCGAAGGACCCAACCATATGTAGTTGTGAGTACCGCAATTATGAGTATCGTATTAGGTGGAGCTCCCTATGGGGCCACAAAACGCTGCACTGGGTGGGGGAGACGCATGCGGACTTTGCCACTGGGGCCTTCGGTGCAGCTCCCTATGGGCCACGAAACATTGTGCTGGGAGGGGGAGGCGGATGCGGACTTTGCCATTGGGGCCTTCGGTGGAGTTCCCTATGGGCCACGAGACGATGCACTGGGTGGGGGAGACGCATGCGGACTTTGCCACTAGGGCCTTCGGTGGAGCTCCCTATGGGCCACGAAGCGTTGTGCTGGGTGGGGGAGACGCATGCGGACTTTGCCGCTGGGCCTTCGGTCCACGAATCGGTGGGGCTCCCTATGGGGCCACGAAACGCTGTACTGGGCGTGCTGGACGCATGCGGGCGGTCCCACTGGGGCCTTCGGTGGGGATCCCTATGGGGCTACGAAACGCGGTACTGGGTGGTGCGTGACGCATGCGGGCGGTCCCAATGGGACCTTCGGTGGAGCTCCCTATGGGGCCACGAAGCGCTGTACTGGGTGGTGCGTGACGCATGCGGGCGGTCCCACTGGGGCCTTCGGAGGAGCTCCATATGGCCACGAAATGTGTGAGGGGTGTGCTGAAACGGGTGATGATGATGATGATGATGATGATGATGATGAGGATGAGGATGAGGATGAGGATGAGGATGAGGATGAGGATGAGGATGAGGATGAGGATGAGGATGAGGATGAGGATGAGAATGAGGATGATGATGATGATGATGATTGTGATGATGATGATCATGATGATGCTGATGCTGATGCTGATGCTGATGCTGTTGCTGATGCTGATGCTGATGCTGATGCCGATGCCGATGCCGATGCTGATGATGCTGATGCTGTTGCTGATGCTGATGCTGATGCTGATGCTGATGCCGATGCCGATGCCGATGCTGATGATGCTGATGCTGATGCTGATGCTGATGCTGATGCTGATGATGATGCTGCTGATGATGATGATGATGACGATGATGATGCTGATGTGATGATGATGATGATGATGATGATGATGATGATGATGATGATGATGATGATGATGATGATGATGATGATGGTGATGGTGATGGTGATGGTGATGGTGACGGTGATGGTGATGGTGATGGTGATGGTGATGGTGATGGTGATGGTGAGGGAGGAGGGAGGAGGGAGGAGGAAGGAGGGAGGAGGGAGAGGAGTGAGGAGGAGAGGAGAAGTGAGGACGCGGGGCGCTGTCTCTTCAAAACAAGGAACCAAAACCACAGGATGGTTGGGAGTGATGATGATGATGATGATGATGATGATGATGATGATGATGATGATGATGACGGGAGGAGGGAGGAGGGGGAGGAGGAGAGAAGTGAGGACGCGGGGCGCTGTCTCTTCAAAACGAGGACCCAACACCACAGGATGGTTGGGAAAAAATAATTCCTCACCGGCCCACATTCGCCAGCTCAGTTCCTCCCTCCGCCTCCTTTTCATGTGCCCGTGGGCAGCATGCGACTTGTTCGATGTCCCTCCCCCGCTGCGAGATCGTGACCTCCGAGCTTCGGATCCTCACCGGCGAGGGCACCATCGTGGGCACCATCGTCAGGAGAGCCAGCCGAACCGGGGTAACAGGGATGGTGGAGACGATATTCCGCGCAATTCGACTCAGATGTAACGGATGCCCCTTTGGGAATCAGGGAATGAGGTGGCGAACTAAAAAGCTATCGAGGTGATGCCAGGCGCCGACCCGAGAAATCCGCGCGGACCTCAGGTAGCTCATGCGTGTGCCGCCTCCTGGCCCACCAGCCCGGCCGGCTGCAGCAGATGCTGCTCTTGGGGGCGGGTGAGGGCCAGCACCTCCCTCGGTGCCCCAGTGGCCCGAGACTTTGGGAAAGGGGCGGGGGTGGCAGGTCACCCCTGCTGGGTGCGCTGGGCCAGGGTGCTGAGCTTCTCGGGGGTGCGAGCGCGCGCCGACAAGCATCGGTCGATGATCGCCGCGTTGGGGGGGTTGGCCGTGGTCGGCGCTGTCTGGGTGGGAGCGCGCCAGCTTCTGCCAGAGCCCGGGCTCCAGACGGGGCCCGGAGACCCCGTGTTCCTCGCGGTCGCCTCGCCGAGCGCCGCAGGCGTGGAGCGCGTCTTTCCCGCACGCATCTGTCTGGCTTCAGCCTGGCGTTAAGTCGGGCCTGTCCCCATACAGGGGGATTTTCGAGGAAAGATAAAAAATACCTTAACAAAAATCAAAACATTGTCCAAAAATAGTCTGGGGACTATTTATTTTAGTATTTTTGACCTTTTTGGTGCATTATGGGGGTATTTTTTATTTTTCGTCGAAAATCCCCCTGTAGGGGGACACGCCCGACATAAGCCTGGCGTGATGGTGGTGCGTGGTGCGTCCCTGGGCGCGCGCTTCGCTGGCGGGATTGGCGTGGGGTCGCCGCTGTGTGCCGGGTCTCGCCCCATGGTCTGCCCGTCGCGGCGCGGCGCTCGCCCCTCCGCTCCGCAAGGCGCCTCGGCCCCGCGGGAGGCGCCCGGGGTTTGCCTGGCCAGGGCGACGCGGCCAGCGAGCGGAGGCCGCGCGGGCGAGGACGCACGAGGGCGCTCCCGGGTGCCAAGCCACAGCTGGGCGCATCGAATGGGAAATCGGCCTGCCGGCATGTGCCCCACGGACACGTCCTATCCCGCAGTGGCCCCAGGGACCCGCAGAAGCTCTGGAGATCCTCAGGGCCCTCAAGGATCGACGATGGGTGTGCCCCAAGAGTTCATACAGCCAGACCGTATGTGTCTACTGAACAACGCAGCCTGCCGCGGGCGCCGACCTGTTTCTCAGAGCCGGCTGGGTCGCGCACAGTGTCATCGGCAGGCCATGCGGGCGGTGGTGCGTACGAGAACGGTGTCCTCCCAAGCGGGCTGGTGTTGAGTGGAAAGCGGGCCGTAGGCGTTGTGTTCTGTTCACAGCAAGGTGATGAGTCGTAAGTGACTCGACGGCGGGTCGCAGATGGGTCGTGGGTGGGTCGCGGGGCGGGTCTCGGGACGTGTGGGGGGAGCGACGGCGACAGCACAATGCAACAAAAAACACGCCACGACACCACTCCGCTTCAGCCACGCACTCAGGGACAATACCAAACCGTTCGGCACCCTCCCTCTGACCTTTCTTTGAGACGCCGTCGCGATGGTTGTTTCCTACACCTCCTCTTGGCGTGCATCGGGCCATCTACGCCGCGAGTCTCTTGCTGTTGCGAGAATGTCTCTGGCCTGAGAGCAATGTTCGGCTAAATCGACAAGCGTTCTCCGTTTGTCGTTAGAGGTTGGCACTGCAGGAGCAGGAGCAGGGGCAGGAGTCAGTGTGCAGGAGCAGGAAGAGGAGCAGCGGTCGGGAGCCGAGCGAATCGAGGTTCGCAACGAACAGCAGGAAGAGTAACCGAAGGCTGCAAAGGAGGGGGGTAAGGCGCTGGATGAGCATTTGAGCGCGAGGAGCAGATCGAGCAGAACGAACAGAAACATCAGCATAAGTAGCGCAGGGACCACGGACACGACGAGGAAGAGTGTGAGGACCTCATTCCTGCCTCGGAAGGGCAGTTGTAGCACATTGGCAATCAGCAGCAGCAGTGCTACCGGCAAGAGCAATAGCAGGAGCAGCGGTGGCATAAACATTAGTAATGATTAGCATTGGTGGCGAAGCGTTCTGGCCTGTTCGTTAGACCAACGAAATCGTATGATACTGCAGTTCTGCTGCCTCCTTGAAACGGCTCAGGATTGTTGGTTGAGACAATATTGTGTTCGGACAGCGGCTGTATGTTCTAGCATTTGTGTTGCTGCTATTTGCTTATTCTGGTTTCGATGAAAGTGTCGTGGTAGGCCTACAAGCAGACCATGACGGCTGGCCCCTGCCCAATTCGCCTGGTAGAGTCAGATCCGAGCCGAGCCGAGACACAGAGGATGTGGCAGGACCGGCAGGAGAAGCAGGGGGAGGTGGAGGAGAGAATGGCGACGGCGCTGATCAGGACGATGGGATCCCGGGAGGGGCATGGATTGCGATCCCCCCGTCATCCTCCTCACCAGACCCCCGACGTCGTGCTTTTTCCATTCCGTGGACCCACAGAGGTCTGGACCCCTTCCCCCGGGCCGGCTCTTCATCCTATCCTGAAAATTGCCCTTGATGATTTCCTCGGGAACGAGGGGGTCTGGCTCCTCCTCCTCCTCCTCCTCCTCCTCCTCCTCCTCCTCCTCCTCCTCCTCCCTTTCCTCCTGCCCCTCCCCTCCGCCTCGCCCTCTTCCTCGCCCTCCCTCGCTCGGGAAGAGCCTTCCCCCGCGGGCCGCGGCGAGGGACGGGAGCACCGCGAAGCACGTGCTCCAGGAGAGCGAGCCCCGCCCGGGGGGCCGCGAAGCAGGGGCGAGCTGCGAGGTCTGAGGTTTTCTGGCCTCTCCTCCGCCTCCCTCCTCCTCCTCCTCCTCCTCCTCCTCCTCCTCCCCTCCTCCTCCTCCCTCCTCCTCCTCCTTCTCCTCCCCCTCCTCCTCCTCCTCCTCCTCCTCCTCCTCCTCCTCTTCCTCCTCCTCCTCCTTCCCCTCCTCTCCTCGGCTCTTCCCTCCTCTCCCTCGGGTTCGCAGCGGCTTTCAAGGCTCGGGATGCGTTCCAGCGGCTCCGCCTCGCCGACAGCGCTCCAGGGACGCCCTGGTCGTGGCTCCGGGAGGTGTCCCGTCATTTCTGCTCCTGCGTGCCCGTTCGCGGAGTCTCCGCTCACGGTGCGCTCGCCTCCCCTTCTGCGAGAGGCGAGGACGGCTCGGCTGGGCGCCATGATTCGAAGGTAAAGTGCGTGCCCTTCTAAGCCACCCTGAGCCTTTGGCTTGAGCTATTTTTTGTTTGTTGTTCGACTAGTTTGGATCATGTTTGAACATTGTTCATTTTTCGCCCAAAATCCGCCTGTAGGGGGACACGCCCGACCTAACCTCATCGGCGGGGGACGCATCGACCCCCCCATCGCCCATGGATCGCAGAGAGAGGGGCCCGATGGCCCGCCCCCGCCCGGGAACGGGGGGATATTCGCCTTCGGCGGGCCTGTCGCCGATGTGGCAGGCCGATGCTTCCCACACCGAGCCGGCCCTCCCCTGTCACGAAGGTGGGCGTGTCCCTCTCTACAGGAGGAAGCCGAAACAAATATTATGGGGACGATGTTTCGAGTAGTATTTGTTTGACTATTTTGGTGGATGTTGAACATCTATATGAAATTGAATTTGTAGCCCAGAGTCCGCCTGTAGGGGGGCAGGCCCGACCTGACCCTGTCAGCTCCCCCCACTCAGGCGTTGCAAGAGAGTGGGGGCAGGGCTGGACCCAAACGCCGTTTTGCTGGACTTCGGCCGTGTTTTGTTTTTCGCCTTGAGAGGGAGGTAAAGGAGAGCAGGTAGAGCAGAACGAAAGCACGCCGAAAAACAACGTTTAGGTCCAGCCCTGATTGGGGGAGATAAGAAGTGGGGTGGGGAGAAAGGTGCGCCCCTCGTCGAGCACCTCAGGGGCCCCACACGAGGGGCCCTCTGGGGCCCAAGCTGGACACGAGGAGGTGCACGCGTCCTCGCCCCCTCCTCTCCGTCGCCCCCTCGGGAAGCGCCCTTGTGTGCCGCGAACAGCGAGGGGTCGTGGAGGTCTCTCGCCGTGCTCGGGCTCCCGGGGACCTGCCCAGGGCCGCAGCGCCGCAAGAGAACGACTCGGGATAAGCAGCCGCGGGCACGGGGAAGCGCCCCCGGGAAGTCCAGGACTCTCGGTTTCCCACCGGCACCCTGCTCCCGTATATGCCAGCAGAAGTTCGGGAGAACGTAGGAGTCGAGTGCACAGGAGCTCCGGTCTGCCGACGCTGTTTGACGACGCGCGTCTTGGATGTGGACGGTCCAGTCTTCGTAGGGTGCTTGCAGCGGGAGGTCGCGTCAAAATTCAGCCCAGGTCTCGTCAGTATCATGATGGCCCCGTCAGGCCAAGCCGAGTCCCCCGAACCCGAGTCTTACGTCTCCCCGAGAAGTGTGGGTCGAATGCACGGCGCATGTGATGTCCGCAGCAATGGGGGGGAGATGCTGTTCTTCTGCGGGCTCCCATCGCGAATCCGATCTGGCTCGAGCGCTATAACGGCCTCGGCCGAGGAGGACTCAGGAGAACGCAGCGTAACAAGGAAAACCTTCAGTTGCCAGTATACGGTGCCTGCTTGCTGTCTTTGGCCTGGACCCCTGACCACCAGCTGGACGCCGCTGACCCGCCCTCCCGTGTCGGCCAGGGGCAAAAATCTGGCCTCGGTTGGGGGCCTCCCACCTCCGTGAACCAACCTCGTCCTGCGCCCTCCCATCCGGATACCTCGCCGGCTACCTGCCCACATCCCAGCGGACGTCGTCAAGGAATGGGGTGATTCATTTTCGCTGCAGCAGCTTGTTTGCCCTCCTCTTCCTCCGCCTCAGCCTCATCTTCCTCCTTTCCTCGTCCTTCTCGGTCCTTGAACTCTCTGGGACCCCTGAAAGCCTCAACCACCCCCTTACAAGCCCCCATGCCATACGGCAAGACTTATTCCTCCGCTTCCTTCTCCTCGTAGTTGCTCTCCTTGCTCCCCCTTCCTTTTCCTAGATTTGTTTCGACCTAGAATCCCACAACACCTTGAGAGTCATTCAAAAGCATCTGCGCTCTTCCCTACCATGCTCCCTCCCTCTGGCCTTCCTCCATCCTCCGTCCTTTCATCCTCCATCCTCGGCGGCGCCAGTGGTCCCCCTTAAACCACGGGGGCCTCCTGAGGCGCGTGATAGACCAGCCTCCTTCGCGAAGACGGGTGCCGGAACCCTGGGGGGGAGGGGGAGGGGGGGGAACCCACAGGGTGCTAGAGCCTAGAGCCAAAGCTGCAACGATGGCTCTGATTCCACAGATTCATGCTATACGCGCCGATCTGCGTCCTTCCCCTTATTTAATGGAGAATGACGATTAATCAATGACCGGGGGTCGTGTTCACTCGGCGGCGCCTGGGATGACGATTAGAAAAAACCGGCCGCGGGCTGGAAAGCTATTTTTTGACCGCTCTCCTCCAGTCAGAAAAATGTGCAGAAAAAGCAGAACACTTGTTTTTTAATCGTTCTCTCCCGTTTTTTTATTAATCGTCATCCCGCATTGTCCCCGTCGTCCCTCCTTCCCTTCCCCGCGTCCTGGTGCCCATCCTCTCCCGCGAGCCTTCCATGCTCTTTTCCCGGTCGTCCTCCTCCCCCCCTCCCCCCGAGGATGTGCGCAGGAAGGCGGAGAATGTGGGAGAAGGGGGAGGAAGGGAAGGGAAGGGAAGGGAAGGGAAGGGAAGGGCAGGCCAGGGCAGGGAAGGGAAGGGAAGGGAAGGGAAGGAGGAGTAGAAGGAGACGGAGGAGGAGGAGGAAAGAGGAGGAGGAGGAGGAGGAGGAGGGAAGGGAAGGGAAGGCCAGGGCAGGGGAGGGAAGGGAAGGGAAGGAGGAGTGGAAGGAAACGGAGGAGAAGGAGGAGTAGGAAGAGGAGGAGGAGGAGGAAAGAGGAAGTGGAAAGAGGAAAGAGGAGGAGGAGGAGGAGGAGGAGGAGGAGGAGGAGGACTAGGAGGAGGAGCAGGAGGAGGAGGAGGAGGAGGGCGAGGAGGGGGAGAAGGACGGAGAATGAGAGAGCGGGGAGGCCCGGGAGGAGCACGGGGCTGGGAGGGGCGGTGGGAGCAGAAGCGTGAGGAGGACGAGGAGGCGGCCTGGTGCCGCGGCCTCTCTGGGCCCCAGGCACCCGTCGAGAGAGCTGGGCGGCACCCGTCGCCGCGCCCCCCGCAGACTGCCCAGCGGCCGGCCAGCGCGCACGGGCCCGCCGATGTCCCTCGCAGGCGCCCCGCGCGGCCTCCGCGCGCTCGGCGGCGCGGCGGGCCTGGAGGCGGCCAGCGGCGCGCCCGAGCGGGGGGGGGGAACGTCAGGGGGCGGGGGCCGCGCTCGGGGAACCCCGCTCGGGGGCAGTGGCAGCGTCGGGGAGCGGGGGGAGGGACTGGAGGAGGTTCGAGCTTCGGCGTTTTCGTCCTTTTCTGGCGTCGAGGTCGAGGTCGAGGTTCGAGGTTCGAGGGTCGAGGGTCGAGGTCGAGGTTCTGGAGGGACTTCGAGGGTCGAGGTTTTCCGGCGTCTTCGTCCTTTCCCCGCGGCTGTCCAGCCTCGGGGTGCGTTGCGGCCGCTGCGCCTCGCGGAGAGGCGTCCCGGGGGTGCCCGGATCGTCGCGAACGGCCGCCGGAGACCCGAGTGTCAAGCAGTGGCGAAGCGTCCTGGCTCGCCTGCAGCCCTACCAAACAACGTTCTAAGAACCGTTTGTGGTTTCCACGAAATGTTCTTAGAACATGTCTGGCGGAGTCTGTCTTGTTTTTTTCACATCGGGCTAATGTTCTAAGAACTTGTTTGGTTCTAAGAACATTTCGTGGTAGGACTATAGGAATGCCGGGACGGTCGGTCCCTGCTCAAGTATAGGCGCAGGGGGGATGCATCGACCCACGATCGCCCATTCATCGCCGACACTTGCCTGACACGGTCAGGATCTCTGGCTGGTAGCGGGTCGCGCCGCGCCGGTCCTGGCCCACCGCGCTTCGGCGCGGCACGCGGACTGCACGCCGCGGTCCTCGGGCGCCAACGTCGAGAGTCTCGAGCTGATCCCAGCCTCCCGCCCTGCAGAGCGCAGCGACAAGCTACAGTTGGGGTCCTGAAGAAGGAACCCTTTTCGTTGGGGAGGGGCTCCGTAGTCCTCGATAGTTTCACAGCTTCCCTTGGGTTTCCCTTAGGTTTTCGATGGGACATCGACGTTTTCACTCGTGGAAAGAAGGGGCCTCGTTCCTTCTTTCGGGTTCCTTGGGTCAACGCCCCGACTGCACCAGCTCCAAGAGGCCTTCCTTGAGCAACCCCCATCCGGGCCCTTCCGCGAGGGCCCCCGCCTTCCGGGAAGGCCGCCCCCGCCGCCTCGGGAGGCAGGGGGTAGGGCTTCTGGGAACCCCTCCTGGGCCTCCAGGGGGCCCCCTCGCGAAGCCACGCCGCCTTCGCAGAAGGCCCTCCCCCCCCCCCCCCGCTCAGGGGGACCCGCCCGAGGCGGGCTCGCCGCTGCCGGTGAAGGCGCCGCCCTGCGCGGAGGACGACGACACCACGGACGCGGGCTCCGACCGGGAGACCGTCTGCACATCGGCCCGCGGTCGCCCTGGCCACCCCCGGGGGGGGCCACGTGGGCGGGGCAAGAGCCGGCACGGGGTCCCAACAGCAGCTCCTGCCCATTTAGAGGGCCAGGCTCGCGGTCGGCGTCGACGCGGACGTGGTCCATTGGTCCATTTGAGACAACGCGCCCCCTGTCCAACAGCAGACGCAGTCGGTTCGGGACAACGTGTGCTTTTGGACATCGTATGCCCATATTTTCCGTACCCCTTCCGGGCGTCTAGACACTTATCAAGGAGTCAGGCAGGGCCCAGCACGCTCGCCGTCGGAATCGCGCCGCGGCTCCTGTGCTTCCCGAGCCGAACACCGACTCGCGCGCTGCTTTGCCGCCAAAGTTTGTGGCATCTGGACGCCGTCCCCGTGGCCGCGAAGAAGCGGGTCGGGACGAACAGCCAGCCCGAAGTCGGGCCTGTCCCTCTACAGGAGGAATATTCAAAATCAGCGAAAAAATGCAATGGGGACGATTTTTAAAAAATATTGTTTGACCATTTGGGAGCCTTTTCTATTGTTTTTGATGTTTCGTCCAAAATCCCCCTGTAGGGGGACAGGCCGAACCTAAAGCCAGCCCTTAAAAAGGGGTCGAGAGCTTCAGGGGCGGGCGACTGCCAGAGGTCCAGGTGCCCTCCAGAGACGACCAACGAGACCGGCCCGAGGCAGCTGCTTCAGAACGACGGGCCCCTCCTCGAAGACGCTCGGTGGCCCGATGGCTTCGAGACGCGGGGCCCCGGACCTCGCAACCCCTTCCTCGAGGCTGGCTCTCCACTCCGAGTCGTCTTGGCCAGGATGGCTGTCGACTACATGTGAGAGTGACCCTTCGCCGGAGTGACCTTTGGTGCGGGGTCACTGGGGCCCCCCTGATCGCTGAGCGCGACGCGATAGCAGCGGCCTGCGCGCTGGTGTTTGGCCCCCTCGCGCCCCCCAAAAGCCGCGCACCAAAGCTCACTCTTGCCCAGGGCCCCTCTTGAGGAGGAGGAGGAGGAGGAGGAGGAGGAGGAGGAGGAGGAGGAGGAGGGAGGAGGAAGAGGGAGGAGGGAGGAGGGAGGAGGGAGGAGGAGGAGGGAGGCGAGAGGAGGGAGGAGGGAGGAGTGAGGAGGGCTGGAACACCGTTAGGGGCCTGCAGGGGCCCAGAGCGCTGCCGAGCGGGCCGTCGCGGCGTGCTCGCGCGCGCCCTCCCGAAGGAGCCCGCGCGGAGTCGGCCCTGGTCGGGGCGCCGGGCCCCCCCAGCCCCCGTGGCGCCGCCGACCAGAGCATGCCGCGCGGACCGAGAAAGTTCGCGATGGTTCGGCTCGGCGGCGGAGAGTTCCAGAGGGGAAAAAACACACAGAGACTGCTATTAAGTCGGGCCTGTCCCTCTACAGGAGGCATATTCCAAAATAGTCAAAAAATAGTCCGGGGATTATTTTTTGAATTATGTTTTGACCATGTTGGGGCCGTTTTTTAACTATGCTTCATTTTTCCTCCAAAATCCCATTGTAGGGGGACAGGCCCGACTTAACACTACTATTAATCGTCGGTTCCCAGGGAAGCCTGGGAAAAATTGGGAGGTGGGGGGGACGACGAAAACCTTGATCATATGCGATAATATGAGACATCCAGGAAGTTGTGTCTATTTTTGTGTGTGTGTGTGTCTGTGTGTCTGTGTGTCTGTGTGTCTGTGTGTCTGTGTGTCTGTGTGTCTGTGTGTCTGTGTGTCTGTGTGTCTGTGTGTCTGTGTGTCTGTGTGTCTGTGTGTCTGTGTGTCTGTGTGTCTGTGTGTGTGTGTCTGTGTGTCTGTGTGTCTGTGTGTCTGTGTGTCTGTGTGTCTGTGTGTCTGTGTGTCTGTGTGTCTGTGTGTCTGTGTGTCTGTGTGTCTGTGTGTCTGTGTGTCTGTGTGTCTGTGTGTCTGTGTGTCTGTGTGTCTGTGTGTCTGTGTGTCGGTGTGTCGGTGTGTCGGTGTGTCGGTGTGTCTGTGTGTCTGTGTGTCTGTGTGTCTGTGTGTCTGTGTGTCTGTGTGTCTGTGTGTCGGTGTGTGTGTCTGTGTGTCTGTGTGTCTGTGTGTCTGTGTGTCTGTGTGTCTGTGTGTCTGTGTGTCTGTGTGTCTGTGTGTCTGTGTGTCGTGTGTGTCGGTGTGTCGTGTGTGTCGTCTGTGTGTCTGTGTGTCTGTGTGTCGGTGTGTCGGTGTGTCGGTGTGTCGGTGTGTCGGTGTGTCGGTGTGTCGGTGTGTCGGTGTGTCGGTGTGTCGGTGTGTCGGTGTGTCGGTGTGTCGGTGTGTCTGTGTGCCGGTGTGCCGGTGTGCCGGTGTGCCGGTGTGTGTGTGTCGGTGTGTGTCGGTGTGTCGGTGTGTGTGTGTGGTGCGGTGTCGTGTGTGTGGTGTCGTGGTGTCGGGTGTGGTGTCGGTGTGTCGGTGTGTCGGTGTGTCGGTGTGTCGGTGTGTCGGTGTGTGGTGTGTCGGTGTGTCGGTGTGTCGGTGTGTCGGTGTGTCGGTGTGTCGGTGTGTGGTGTGTGGTGTGTGGTGTGTGGTGTGTGGTGTGTGGGGTGTGGGGTGTGTGGTGTGTGGTGTGTGGTGTGTGGTGTGTGGGGTGTGGGGTGTGGTGTGTGTGTCTGTGTGTCGGTGTGTCGGTGTGTCGGTGTCTCGGTGTGTCGGTGTGTCGGTGTGTCGGTGTGTCGGTGTGTCGGTGTCTCGGTGTGTCGGTGTGTCGGTGTGTCGGTGTGTCGGTGTGTCGGTGTGTCGGTGTGTCTGTGTGTCGGTGTGTCTG